TAAATAATATCGGTGTTGACTGGAATAACCAGACGCTAGAAACTGGCTTGCGGTTGATCGAGACTTCTCTCTGGTGTATTTCGCCGAACATAACTGATGACAATTCACAGTAAAACGGACACGATTGAATGTAAAACAGTTTATATAAATTCATATTACATTATTATTTGTGTTGCGACCCATTTGTGCCAATTTCTTGGTCCAAAACATTAGCGATTTAGCTCCTTTAAAGATACATTATGTAAGATTTAGATAAAGAACTAGCCATTCTTGCTAAAGTAGATGATGTAAAATGAATAATTTGACAATTTCATTCAAATTACTCTATTGCAAGCGAAGATATATTAGCCTTTGAAGGTTTGACAGACGTGTGCAATAATTTTAACCACTGCACTGGTTGATCGAAGCTAATTCTCGGTCCTCCATATTTGATTAAATCAAAGTATCGCTGAGCCATTCTAATCTATTTAATATCGGAGAAATCTGATGCCATCGAGAGTTGATGAAGGCCTGGATCAGTTAATTAATGTCTAATTAATACTTTAGAAAACATTTCAGGCCTAAGAGAAAGACCTGCAGTAGACAGATTTAGCTCTTGCATAATGCATGTTTAAATGTAATGTAAATCATATTCAAGATTTAGATATAGAGTCCTTCGTTTTTGCTATAAAAGTTCAAAAATAGATAATGCAAAATGAATATGTTCAAAATTTCTGTCAATTTCTATTCTGACCTAAGTTATCACAGTTTGTAGTTTTGACAAGGTGGTGTGTGTATTGACTGTTTATTATTGTAATTACGGTACAAGTAAATTCGAGACTTACATTTTTAAATTAAATCATTAAAATGATTAATGGCCAAAACGTTGTACGTTCTCATCTGGTTAAAATCTCGAGCATCCGATGGCATCGCGAGTTGATTGTGGTCTTATCTAATTAATAATTTGTATGCATGCTGTCAGTAATTCAAATTGAGTAATGGACGTTTTACTTTTAATGCAATTTGAATCGTGTCTTATAGTACTTATACTTATAATTTGGTTTCCTTACAGGAAATAACTCCTGGAAATCTTGTAGTGTACAGCTTTTGGTATTATTTACATCAATATGCATAAGGCTGGCAGGCTGCCCTGGTGTGTAATAATAAATTTTACTCAATAATCTAGCTCACATTTCGAATCTTCACTGTATGATCATTTTCTTATAATTTGTGATCGTCCAAAATAACTTCAACTGTGTGACAAGTTCCCTTTTTATTGTATTTGGAATATTACACTAATTTTTCACATTGTTGTTTGTGACGAGGTGGCCGAGTGGTTAAGGCGATGGACTGCTAATCCATTGGGGTCTCCCCGCGTGGGTTCGAATCCCATCCTCGTCGTTAAATTTTTTTTTTTTATTACCGGTATCATGCAACTTATTACCGGTATCATGCAACTTCACCCACTAATGATAAAGATATTTTGGCCTTATAAAATATTTAATAACCAGACAGAGGAATTGAGGTCGATTCAGTAGCCTATTTGAGCATGGATGATTTGAGTTGATGCTGGATGTCCACGGACCTTATATTATAAGGTCCATGATTCAACCAATCAGAGTTGTTTAAATAGTGTCAAAGTAAAGGCGAAAATGGCGGAGTGGTTTGGTGACGCAATGAACGAACAGTTTTGTGGTAGAATAACTAGGGAAGCTCGTTTCATCTCATAGTCTCATGTTAAAAGTTTCATTTAATCTGCGTGTCCACTTAGACTTCTTCAGGTAGCCAAGTCACGGCTAGTGATAAATTAGCATTTCTTACTGTTTTCTCTTTAAAGTAGCTAAGTCTCTAACTCAACGTCAATGTCAATATCATCAAAAATCTTCGGCTCTATTTCAGTATCGCACCTTTTCAGGGGATGTTCAGGTGGGCTAGCAATGACCTCACACCAAATTTCAGCCGAATCGGTCAATAACTTTTTATTTTACCTTAGTTTAGCTTCTATATTAAGAGATAAGTTTATCCGATTTTGACGCCATTTTGTTTGTTGACTATTTAATGACGTCATATGTGGATTGTGGGTTAGGATAAGGGTTAGGGTAAGGGTTAGGACCTGTAGATTTCGTCATAGTCTCAAGATGTAGACAGGACTAGCCCTAACCCTAACCCTGTCTTGTTATTCGAGTCTAAATAGCCAACAAACAAAATGGCGTCAAAATCGGATAAACTTTCTCTCGTATAAGCTAAACTACAGTAAAATAAAAAGTTATTGACAGATTCGGCTGAAATTTGGTGTGAGATCATGGCTAGGCCCCATGAATACCCCCTGAAAATTTCAAGTCTCTATGATCATGGGAACTGGTAGAGAAGCGATACTGAAATAGAGCCAAAATTTCAAGTCTCTATGATCATGGGAGCTGGTAGAGATGCGATACTGAAATAGAGCCGGGCTTCTGATATCCAATATTCAAGACAAAATAAACATTTTACCATTGGTACACGAATCGTGTACCATAGTGCGTTTTAGGGTCATTTGCAACAAGTGACCAGAAAGAACGAGGCTAGACACATTCAACTGGAGAGCCTGCTTAATAGACTGGAATAACCAGACGCTAGAAATTGCTATAGGGTTGAGACACATGCTGTATTTCGCTGGACATAACTGATTTGAAATTAGAGTTATATGCGTTTCGACCCATTTGGGTCAATTTCTAGGTCCCAAATATTAGCGATTTAGCTCCTTTAAATTAAAGTTAAAGTTAGTTATTATTATACTTATAGAAATATATTTCGTAAGCGCGGGTACAGGATTTTTTTTGGGGGGGGGGGGTAGTGCAAACGAATTTTTGACGAGTGTATCGAGGCAAACAATTTTATTATAAATCCCCATGGAAATGTGGTTGTAATAATAATAATAACTAGAACTGCGAAGCAGTAATGACGGGTTTCACCGGTGCCCCATTACCCTTGAACATATGTCACTTCCGGTACCGATGAAACAGGTTTCCATTTAAGCATTGCACACATCACATAAAATGTACGCAGAATCAACCAAATCCGGCAATATCAATTCATTGTATACATTCATTACATGTAAGTGATCCTGACAACATTGAATTACTTCCGGTGATAATGAAAATGTTAAATTAGTTTCATGAAATCAGAAATAGCATAAGGCATCACTTGGTGAAAATTTTATGTAAATCGAATAATATTTGCCACTTTTATAGACCAAAATCCTTGAAAAGTGACTTGTAGAAAATTGTCTATTTCTCTGCAACCGTACAAGTTAGAAACCATTTTTTGGTATTTGTATGATCGTGTGGGTTCAATCTATTTGTTGATTGAAATCAAATATCATAATTTTAAAAACAATACAAATCAGACTCATTTGAGTAAAATATCTGTTTTGAAGGCTAAAAATAATTGACACTTTTATGGACCAAAAACCTTGAAAAGTTACCTGTTGAAAATCGTCTATTTCTCTGCAACTGAACAAGTTAGAAACCATTTTGTGATATCTATATGATCGTTTGGGTTCATTCTATTAGTTGATTGGAATAAAATATCAAAATTTTAAATGAATAACAAATAAGACTCATTTGAATAAATTACTGGTTTTGAAGGTTATAAATACAATTTTTGCCCAAATTACGTCATTTCCGGTGACATTGAAAATGTTAAATTGGTTTGACCTTCTTAAAATTGACATTACGTATCAAATGGTGTCACTTTTTTGAAAATCGAATAATAATTGACTCTTATACAGGCAAACTAGTGTAAAAAGTGACTCATACAAAATTGGCCATTTCTCGGCAACTGTTCACATTACAAATTAATTTTCACATACATTCTCTTCGTATGGATTATTGCTACTAGTTTATGAAAGTTGCGAAGAAATATTTTAAAATATGAAAAGCCTGAATGGGTTGTGAATAGCTCATTTTTTCACCTTTTTTCACCTTTAAATCGAAATGATCCGAAAACGAAATGAAAATTTAAAAAACTGAGCGCGATGATTTCCGCGCATTAACAGGGCAAACCCTTTCAGTCATATTAGATTTGAAAAAAATAATATTTGCTTTCAAAAAGTGGTACCGAACTCTCAAAATTGCAGTTTTTGCTAAATTTATGTAACTTCCGTTGCCGAAAGGAAAATGTACCGGTAACAAAAAAAATGACATTTTGGACCGCGGAACATATGAACTTTGTTTTATACAAATCGAACAATAAATAATTAATCCAGGACTGAAAAACTGAATTAGCCAAAGGGGGCCAAGGAAAAATACGGTGACAAAAAATGTTGACATTTTTTGTCAAATCAGATAACCCTTTAACCCTTGGTAAAATACCACATAAAAATATTCATTAATAAAAAAGTTTTCGTAAAAATTTAAATTTTCAAAATTTGGCGCCTAATATCTCCGAAGATTCGTCGAAAATAAAAAATCCAAAGAACCTTAGCTATGTGCCTTGTCTCTGGCTATGTCAAAATGTATCAAATATTACAATCCGACAATTATTGATAACATTACGGCAAAATATCGAAAAACGACAACTCGGGTGATTTCGGACATTTCACATTGTCGCAGAACGTTGGAAATAGCTTTAAAATTTAAGTCAAACCCACTTTTCCAGTAAAACCAAAGACATCGAATCGATCCGACAAGTAGTTTCTGAGATATGCTCAAATGGAAAAATAATAATAATAATAATAATAAGAAGAATAATAATCCGAACAAAAACAATAGTGTTTCACACTGGCTACGCAGTGTGAAACCCTATAATAATGCTTTATTACACAACTGCATGGTATATACACGAGTATGGTAAAACATACAATACAAAACAATGTCAATAGAGGTTTCTAAAAGTATATTAAATTATATTACTAATGCTTGTAAGGTATATTATATTAGGCCTTACATAGCAAATGGTATTTAATGTCTGTTCTTAAACATTTCATATACGAATGTTGCAACATCTTGTATACATTTATCATCGTATTATATGCATTATTGAATCATTCAAACAAGTAGTTTTAATGTGATGACTTAAAAACTTTTTCTGAAGATTGTATATTGTCGTACACCCGTCCATCATCCGCTCCCAATTTTGCACAGAGACATGAATATCACCAATCTGGATCAGGCCCAGGCCCCCAACCCCCCCGAAAAAAAAGTTGCCGACCATAGCTCTAAAATATCTACTGAAAATACCTACGGTACTGATCCGGATATCATTTCAACATTTGTAACATCCTTCCCTCAATGCAAGTAAGTTTTCTTGCATCCAATGACGGATTTCGTCTACACACTTCTCATTTCGAGATACATATACTGTACTACTGTAGCCTATTGCCTATTTTATAGTCGGTTCCGGACTCCTATGAGTCATCTGCATAAATTACGGAGTCTTAAGACTTTAAGTGTTGCGTGTGATGATATCCTCGATTGGAATAGTGTACCGAACAAAGAAAATAAAACTGGTCCAAGGATTCGGCCAGAGGAACATCGTAATGTAATAGATGTGCCCCAGAGACCATAGTAGACCCAACTAATTTGGCAGGAAATCCTGTTGAATTTGAATATTGAATCAAAAAAATTATGTTTTTGTCCTAGGGCCATCTGTAGGAATCTTTTAATGTCCTTTTAAAATATTTTTAAATTTCAGATTACAGTCAGTTCATGTTAGACCACTCTGTTTTCTTTCTGTTAATACAAGAGGTCAAGCCTCCGAAAATCAGCATCATTGGTTACAAAAACCTCTGGTATCAAAACGATATAACTTACCATACCGGTACCAGAAAAACAGGCAATTAATTCATTGTTTCATTGCTAACCCAGCATTTATAGTTTGTGTCTGTAATACAATATTTACAGAACGTTGGAGATCTACGTTATTCAACTGTGTATCAAATATTATTACTAATTCCAATCTATTACGGCCATTTAATACTACATGTGGGGGATATCATAGACTATTTTCAAACTTTGGTAAACATTATCTCACTTGTCAATGTTGTAAAATAAAATACACAAGTTCTTGTGGAAAGATGGAAAAGTCTACGAAAAAACGTAAGCATGAAGGTGATAAAGATAAAACATCGCAACCTAAAAAACAAAAAATTACTGAAACCATCAAAAGCAGTCAAAAGACAACGCCAAATGAAAAAACATCACTAGCGAAAAAGCCAACACCATCAAAAGAACTGTCTCCGACTAATAAACAGAAAAAGGATAGTGACAAGGCTGATGATGATTTTCGAAGTAAAATCGTGAGTAGGAGAACCAGTGTTTTTAAATCAGTCATGGAGTTTAAATTCAATAAGAAACGTGTACGCGTTTTATCAATGGCAAAAGATTCTCCAGATGATTGTAATGGGCTTGTTTATTGGATGTCACGTGATCAACGTGTTCAGGGTAGGTAATCTGATAAATTGTGTTACATTTTTATATGTACGTATAATCTTGTCACCAATCTGATTAAAACACAGATCCTATTTTGTTTCGTTTTTTATAGTTCAGAATTTCGATTTAGTTGTCCTTACTACTAGTCCGGTCGCCAAACCCAATATTTCGAGTGAACCTGGAATTTGAATACAAAGTTTTTTTATGATTGATTTTAGTAGCCTATGGTGTCCTCTTTCAGAATCTGCCGGGTGAACCTCGGTCACCCTTGAGCGTTTTGAGAAATTCAATATAAGGGCCTAGCATCCAAGACGGCCTCCACTTCAAATAATCCCCTGTAACTCCCATAGTATTTTGTCTAGGATGATAATTTTGGTGTCTAAATGTATGTTCCCAGGGTCAAGGAATAAACTGTAATCATTTCATGATGTTGTGGGGAAATTAGATGATAGTAAAATCTAAAATGCCAAACAGTATGACCCTTTAACACGTTAGCGGTGGTTGAGAGCCATTATTTCACCAAACCAAACTATATCTAGAAACAAACTATATATTTCTGGATAAAGGAGCATATGAGTGATACGATAAAACCACATGCCTATCAGGGTTCCAGAGCCACATGGGCCGGTCTTTGAAAAGGGGACCAAAAGCTGTTTTGTGAATATTTAAAAAAACAAATTCTACCCACAAAACACGAAAATAACTCACACAAGACTAGGCCATATTCAGTTTAATCCTTTGGTCGTGTTTCTGGCTGCAAACTATGACAGCACAAGTGCAAAATACTGTACATTCTAAACCATCCCTGAGTGCATCTACAAGCAAGCGTACTGCATTGAGGTGTCACTCTTATTCGCATCTGATGAACTACATAATGGACTGGACCCCAGAGCAAGTTGGCTGGTTGTAATGTTCTCAATTTAGTATTCTTCACCAAGCAATACAGTTCCAGATCAAGTTCCGACAGATTACCATCTTCCAATCTTCCAATGAACACCACACAATAGCTTGGTGATGAGCTCTTTTTAGGTTCCCTGCAAATGCATCATTCATTGAGCAAGACTATGTGGTTTGGGTGGGGATGATGACGGTACATTTCCAGTTTTGGATGTCCATACCCTCCAGCATTTTTCGGGCATCAGTTTGCTAGAACTCTGTCCATAACAAGCTGACATAAATACAGTGGCCCAAGTAAGCACTGATTCTACTACTCCGACCAGTGAGAGAGAATACAATCAAGCTCTCATCACTTCCAAAGCTGTCCCTTTCCCCACGAGGTAGCAGCATGTAACCGTATCATATCCAGTAAGAGCATGAGCTGGCAGGATTTCAATGATAATTAACATGTGTTTCTCCATGGTTTGACCAATGTCAATGGTTGTTCTTCTTTGATTGGCAATTCTTGTTACTCTTGTTAGCTTGTTATGGACAGAGCTCTTGCAAATCGATGTTGTTATATCTAAGATTGGATGGTGTACATTGTAGGTAAGGTTAGATCACATGATGTTTAGAATGTCATGTAATATTGTCGGCTAGTAAAGATATAGAGCATCGCGATTGGATTGTTGGTTTTCAGTTTAAGCTCAATTCTATCGGTTATATAGGGATATTAAATTAGCGACGAGGATGAAAACTAACAGAAATAGAGAAAAGATTAGAGCAGATAATAAGAGTAAGTCGGTGGCGAACTTTTGAGAAGAAAGACAGCAGATCGCGGGAAATGGCAACGCACAAGTCCCCCAAGAACACGAAGGCCTTAATATCAACCCGCAAGCATATCATTTTGTCACAGAGACACTTCACCTAAAGGCCCCTGAATTTTTTGTTGACGACGACCAAATAAAAAAAGGATAGTGCTGGGAAGAGTGGCTCGAAGGTATAGAGAGAGAATTTCGGTATTTTAGAATGACAACTCCCGTTGGCAAGAAAGATGCCATTATTATTCATAGAGGAAAGGAGATCTTCAAAATAGAGAGAACATTGGTAGGTCCAATAGCTGAGACAATGTTTATGCTGCTAGATTACGAGAGAAATCACAAGAATGCCAATTTACAAATGAAAGAATATTAGAGCACATCATACAGACAATAGACAATCAGAGTTTAATACAGAAAGCAGTCAATAAGAAATGGGATTTGTCAACTTTTATGAGAAGCCAGTCAATTTGAAGATGTCAACAGGCAACTTAAAGCTGTAAATATTAAGATGAAAACGAGAAGATAAATAGAAGTAAATATCAGCAAAATAGAATACAAAACCGAACTAGATGTTAATACTGTGGACAGACTGGAACACATAGATCAGGAGAAAATTGTCCAGCTTATGGAAATCAATGCAACAAATGTAAGAGATGGAATCATTTTGCCTCAGCCTGCACAGATGAAGATAGAAGAAATGCCACAAATCCTACTTATTTTGAAGGAAGATGTAGAAGTCAAAATAGAAGAGAATCAGATGGTTACAGAAGGAAATATAATACAGACAATTATAGAAGATATGATGGTAGAAATTATTATAGAGGTGATAATTATGCATGTAGAAGAGATAACAGAGATAGGCGAAAATATTCAAATTACAGAAGAAATCAATCAACAAGAGAAAATTACTACAAACCAAGCAACACACTAAAAGGACAAATCAAGAAAACTGCAGAAGAGAGAGGAAATAAAACCTCTTCATCAGATGATGATTTTGTTGATGGAACCACAGTCAAACAAACAGGCAAAGCCACCAAAATTAGAACAGAGAGAGAGAACAACGATACAATTAAAAAAGTCAATGTTAGAGTAGATGACCGTGACGTGATTATGTAAATATCATGGATGAATATCAATTTAGAGCTTTGGAACACAGAACCAATTCTAGGCCAGTATTAGAAGAGAGTAATATCACCTTAACAACACTGCAACATAAACTGTCAGTAAAAGGAGAATTCAACACAATCATAAGAAATCAAACAAGAGGAGTTCCTGCTAGAATAGTTGTTATATATGGTCACATGAAATCTCCACCTCTTCTCTGTAGACAAACTAGGACAGAACTGGGAATGCTAGAAATAAGACCTGATGGTTCATTACTAGAGAAGAATGATATGAGAATTTCTGAAACTATCAATAGAGTCACAGAAGTAAAGACAACAGAAGAAATAGTAGAATCCCATCAGAAAATATTTGAAGGGATAGGCATGATCAGTGATATAAAGAATGATAAAGATATTTATACAAAATTCAACATGATGCCAGGAGTTGCACCTATTGCCCAAAAGCCAAGACCTGTGGGGTATTATCTTCAAAACCATTAAAGAAATGGCTAGATAAGTGTGTAGAAGGTGAAATATTTGAAAGAGTTCCACCACTAGTAGTTCAACCAAAGCCAAGATTCAGTTATATTAGCAAAGATCAGCTTGAACCACATATTATTAGAGCCAGTGTTGCTTTGAGGGTTCCAAACAAATACATTGAAAGAAACCGAGTCACACAAGAGACCATTGTAGAAGATTTTACGCACAAATTGAATGACTGCACGGTATTCTCAAAGTTATCAGGGATATCATCAGTTATTATTAGACCCTGATTCCAGAGCAGTGGCAACATTTAGCACCCCATGGGGAAATCTACGATTGATATTTTGAGCTAAGTCTTCACATGATCTATTTGATGAGACTATCTTCAGAATATTTTGAGATGTACCTAAATGTCTAAATCAGAGATATGATATCTTAATAGGAGGAAAAAATTTAGAATAACACAACAAAACATTAGAAACACTATTAAATAGAGCTGAAACATTTGGTATCACCTTTATTATATAAAGAAAAATGTCAATTTGGAGTAGAAGAATTGGAATTTCATGGTTATAAATTTACTAAAGAAGGTTTGACGCCAACACCGGATAAAGTACAAGCTGTTAAAGAGAGTCAACCACCTAAAAGTAATGAAGCTGTAAGAAGTTTTTTAGGAATGATAGGATATCTTTCCAAATATATACCCAGGTATTCATCATTGACAACACCTTTAAGAAAACTAATACAAAAAGATATAAAATTTAAATGGGGAAGAGAAGAAAGAGAAGCTTTTGAGAAATTGAAAGAGAGCATTACCAATGATGATGTCATGAGCTATTTCAACCCTATTTAGACCTATCATAGTTCGAACAGAAGCAAGTTTTCATGACAGACTTTCAGCAGGATTATTTCAAGAAACAGAAAGAGGATTGCAACCAGTACATTTTATATCGAGAACTATGACACCAACAGAGAAATGTTATAGTCGGACAGAGAAAGATACATTGGCTATTAGATGGATGAAACAATGATTTAAAATGTATTTATTAGGAGCACCAAAATTCAAGATCATTACGTCTCACAAACCTCTAATACCCATGTTCAACAAACCAACTGCGAAACTACCACCTATAATAGAGAAATGGGTTATGGAATTACAAGATGTAGATTTTGAGTTAATTTATGAACCTGGTAAAGATGATCAAGATCTGCTTGACTTTCTGTCACGTCATCTACTACCAATCACTGATACAGATTCTACAGTCATAAACAAGAACCGGTGAAAATGTTTATGATTCCTGAGAAACCATCTATGGCCATAGATTTTGGAGGACCATGTCCAGATGGACACTACAATTATGTTGCTATCGATAAGAGAACAAGATATCCAGAATTTGAGAGAACAACATCTGCATCATTTAAAGCGATCAAACCAAAACCCAAGAAAATGTTTGCAACATATGGTACACCAAGAATATTACAAAGTGATAATGGACCACCATTTAACTCTAAAGAATTTGAGAATTTTGCTACAAAAGAAGGGTTTACACATCATAGAATAACACTGATACATCCGAGAGCCAATGGAGAAGTTGAATCTTTTATGAAGGTGTTAAACAAGACAGAACAGATAAGTCATCTACAAGGATTAGACAATATATTAGGTTATAGATCATCAGCTCATCCAGCTACAATGATTAGTCCATACAAAGCTTTAATGAAGAGGAAAATCAGAACAAAATTAAATCAAGATGGATTACATTTAGAAAATCAACAAGAAGATAGAGAAGAAATAATTACCAGAAATGAATATGAGTATAAAGAGTAAATTAGGAAAAATCCTGAAAACAGAAATGCTAAATAAAATAATTATGTAATAGGAGATTTTGTATTACTCTGGCAGAAAAAAATCAACAAATGGTCAACTGCATATTAACCAGCATTTTATGTCATCTATAGAATTGATGAATTTTCAATAGCTGCAAGAAGAGTTACTGATGGATGAGAAGCGTATCAAGATTCAAGTCATTTTAAATTAGTTAACAGTGTTATCCAAAATGTTAATAAAGAGATATTTGATACTGATAAATGGAGAGAAAATTTATTGAGTAGATTAAGACCCGACCCTGAAGTGAGACAACAGGCAAATAATTATGAGGACCAGCAGGAGAATAATCTACCACCACAACAACCAGACCAGGCACATAATCAACGACCACAAAGAAACAGGAGGCGACCAAATTATTTAAATGACTTTGTCTGCTGATTAATGAACTTTTATATTTTTAAAAAGAAAGTGTTCAGAAATGTAAAGTGCAAACTATTTTATTTTTAGAGACATTAGTCAGAAGGACAGTAAATTTATAATAGATTACATTTATTTCAATTTCATTTAAAGTAAATGTCTTTAAAAGGAATGAAGGAATGTTATATCCAAGATTGGATGGTGTACATTGTAAGTAAGGTTAGATCACATAATGTTTAGAATGTCATGTAATATTGTTGGCTAGTAAAAATATAGAATTTGGCGATTGGATTGTTGGTTTTCAGTTTAAGCTCAATAGTATCGGTTATATAAGGATATTAAAGATGCCTGAAACACGCTGGAGGCTATAGGTATCCAAAACTAGAAATATATCGTCATCATCCCCACCTAAACCACATAATCTTGCTCCAAAGAATGATGCATTTGCAGGGAACCTAAAAAGATGTCGTCACCATCCTATCGTGTGGCATTCACTGGAACTGTATTGCTGGGTTAAGGACAGTAAATTGAGAACATTACAACCAGTCAACTTGCTCCTGTGGCTCATCAGATGTGGATGCAAGAGTGACACCCAAGTAGTACGCATGCCTATAGCTGCACTAGGGATGGATTAAACTGAATATTACCTAGTTTTGGTGGGGGTTATTTTCGTAGTTTGCGAGTAGAATTTTTTTTTAATGTTCAACTACAACTGGTCAGATCTTCATGTAGTAGAGACCATCAAAAGTATAAAAAGATAAAGCGAAATATAGATCTGTATTTTAATCAGATTTTTCTTACATCACCTGTTTGACTGTTCGTCTAGAGCAGGGGTGTCAAACTCATTTCGGTTCAGGGGCCACATAAACTAAAATTTACATCAAGTGGGTCTGAGATAAACAAAAATTCTAAAAACAAAGCTAAACGTCCTTGAACTTTACTGAATTCTAAAAACAAAGCTAAACATCCTTGACACAGGTAATTTTTGTCACCCGCCTTTCGAAGAAAGCAGGGAACTAGGCTACATGTAGCGATAAGCAATTTGATTGGTCAAGACTTTGGAACATAAAAATTCTGCTTTTGAGGTATAGATGTTCATTAGGCGAATGTCTTGACTAGAGTCCATGATTAATATTTCCCATTAAAGCTAAGCAGAGCTAAGCAATTTATTTGGTCAATGCTTTGGGACAAGAAAACTTTGATTCTAACTGATGGAGAGGGATGAAACTTAGTGTATAGTTTCACTACCGGGTACTTCAAAACCTGTGTTTGATTGTGAACATTTTATGCTTAGACTAAAAATAGATAATCAGTTTGATTACCGGTACTCAATACTTTTGAAAAAGATAAATGCTTTTTGTCATTTATCTGGTGAACCTGTGTCATTCTTTTTGTCATTTTTTGGGTGAACCTCTGTCGTTTCTTGTTATTCATCTAGTGAACCTCTGTTATTCACCTGGTGAACCTCTGTCTTTGTCATTCGTCCAGTGAAGCTAAGTCATTCTCTTTGTGAGTGTGTAATGAACCTCTTGTCATTCTCTTTTGACATTCCTCAAAAATAACAGTATTATTATCATTAAGGGGTGGACTGACAGTGATCATATTCCCTGTACAAACAGGGACATTGTCCTCACTCCATAAACAAAACTACATGTAGAAAATATTCCATAGTCTTTTCCATTCCATAAACAAAACTAGAAACTATTCCGTAGTCTTTTCTGTTTCATGTTAAAAGGTTTACAAGAATTTGAAGAGGTTTGTTACTTTTCTATTTAAATAATTTGATAATTTTTACATTCTTTTCCAATAAAGTTGATTGAAATTTGAAAAATAATGAGTTCATCTTTTCCTACAGCATTCACACATTCTTGAAAGACATTTCATAAGTTCAATTTATGAACATGAAGACAAATTAAATAGATATATAAACTATACATATCGTATAAAATTGAACTAGAAATAGATCTGCTGGCCTTTACTTTGGAGGAGAGCAAACCTACGTACATGTTGATTAATTAATTCCCTATGATGGACAGTATCACGCATAAAAAAAAATTCAAAAAAGATGTTATATGTTCCTGAATAATTAAATAAATGTGTTTCCTGTTATGTACATGAGTAATTAAATACTGGTAATTCTCTTTTGTTTTTAAGCAAGTGAGTTTGTTAACTCACCCGGAATTTGGGCCAAAATAATCTGTCTGATTTTTTTGTTGTATGAACCGGTAGGGGGCCATTGTACGAAGCCCCTTAAGTGCACGATTCCACTCTTATATAATTTTTTCGTGCATAATTCCACTCTTATATAATTATTTCGTTTAAACGAAATAGTAATTCGTTTAAATGAAATAGTAATTCGTTTAAATGAAATAGTAATTCGTTATAATGAACGAAATAGTAATTCGCTATAACGAAATATTAATTTGTTTAAACAAAATATTTATTTGAAATTAGATAGGAGTAGAATCATGCCCGAAAAATTTATGTAAGTAAGAGTGGAATCGTGCACTTAAGGGGTTGAGTGGTAGACCTCTTGACTAAAATGTTCCTGGTTTCAATTGTGTGGTCTGAAAAGAACATTCAAGATTTGTCAACTCTAGTAGTTCTTACTTGTCCGGGGTGGCACCTGTGGCGTTGACCCGTGTACATTGGTGTAAAAGAAACATTGGCAATTGGATTTTGAAGAATAATAGGAGAAATGCTGCTGTCTATGCAAAATTCTCCCTGTAGCTTTGTACATGTACACGAATTCATGAAATGAATATTTTAGTTTTAGTGATAGTCTCATATGTTGACAAGATATTAACCCCATTTCAAATTTTTTACAGATAACTGGGCGTTCCTCTACACACAAAGACTGGCATTAAAGATGGAAGTCCCACTACATGTGTGTTTTTGTTTAGTGCCCAAATTTTTAGAAGCTACGATACGTCAATTCAGTTTCATGTTAAAAGGTTTACAAGAAGTTGAAGAGGTTTGTTACATTTCTGTTTAAATAATTTGATAATTTTTCATTCTTTTCCAATAAAGTTGATTGAAATGTTAAAAATTTCCCTGAAGAAATATGTATGTGTATCATTTTGTTTTTGAACATTATAAACCCTGGAATGCATAAATGGTGACAAGACCATTCTGTAATTGTGAAAAAATGTATTGTCCCCCGCCCTTCGAAGAAATCAGGGGACTATTAAAATAGATTATGGCTCCTGATTGTACAAAAAAATCCAGTTTTTAGCTTGTCGACCCTCCAGAGGTCACAATTTTTACCTGATTTTAAAGAAAAAAAACGCTTATCAGTGTTACAACCTAATGAAGGTTGAGTTTGAATTTTGTGAAAATCAGTCCGAAACTGCCCGACAAAATGGCCATTCCTTATACGCAAATAGTGTAAAAGTATGTAATACCAAGGTTGGGAACCTTCTAGAGGTTAGAATTTTTATCTGATTTTGATGAAACTTAAAGTATATGTTTATATCCCAGAGATTTTTGATTCCTTTTGAAATTCGCGCATAGCGAACCATAACTTCCTGAATTTTATCCCCTGATTGTACGAAAAAATCCCTGTCTGTCCATCTGTCTGTCTGTCACACTTTTTGGGACACAATAATTCTCTTTCTAATTGAGCTAGAATGTTCAAACTTGGTGTAGGTGTTTATTAGGTCAATGCCTTGATGGAGCATTTTCTGCTTAGGGTAAGCAGAGATAAGCAATCTGATTGGTTGATGCCTTGGGGCCAGAAACTTTGGTTTTAATTAAGTGAGAGTGATGAAACTCCGAGTATAGATTCATTATATCATTACTTTGACTAAGTTTGATGATGAAATTTTCTGCTTAGGCTAAGGATCGATAAGCAATTTGATTGGTCAAAACTTTGGAACACATGTTACAACTCTGCTTTTAATTGAGGTAGAATGTTTAAACTTGATGTTGATGTTCATTAGGTGATTGTCTTGACAGAATTCAATGATTAACATTTCGAGCTAAAGCTAAACAGAGCTAAACAATTTTATTGGTTGATGCTTTGGGACCAGATAACTTTGATTCTATCTGATAGAGAGTGATGAAACTTGGTGTATAGTTGAAAATCGGTTTGATTGCTTGGTACTTTTGAAAAAAATAAATGTTCGTTTAATTAAGATGTGTCATCTATTTATTTTGGGATTTCGGCGGGGGACATCAACCTCACAGTTGGCTTTTTTTTTTAGCTTGTTTTTTTAGCTTGTTTTCTTTCTATCTCTTGCAAAATGTGGGTGTTTCTTGCATGGAAACCATTTGTTACTAAAATTATTATTATTAGGCTTTCAGACTTTTGTCTCGTTCGTTTGTTTCTGGAGTTTAACTTCCACTTCCACCAAGGGTGATGTCGTAGTCCCGCATTGTGGACGCTCTAGAGGCTAAAGTTAAAGATACATTATGGGAGATTTTAATAGAGAGTTGGCCATTCTTGCTATAACAGTTCAAAAATAGATGATGAAAGAAGAATATATTGAAAATTTCAGTCAAATTACTTTATTCTGAACAAAGTTATCACCATTGTAATTTTTGACTAGAAATAGGAGTCAACTCTCTCTTTACCGTCTCCGAAAATGACCGATCGTTTGATTGACAGACGTTAACTCCACCTATATAATCTCGATTATCAAGTAACGGTTTTAATGGATGGGTACCATTAGCCTATTCGGTTTGAGACGTGGTTGCAATTCAATTCGTGTATCACATTTATTTTTACTACAAATTAAAAATAAGACTTTTAATATATAGATTAGAACCGAAAGTTTGAAAGGAATGGACCAAATCAATGAGGCGTAATTATAGCCGGCTTCTTGTTAGCCTGTGTGTACTCTTGTACTGTAACTGGTAGACCTTCGTAACTCCCGAAGCAGACAAACAGGAAACAGTGATCCAATGGGGCTGCAATTTAACTGGGGTGATGTTAGGTGCGATGTTTATCAATTTCCATAATTTTTCTGTAAACGCAAGTGACAAAAGAGCGTATAATACCGACATCCAAACTCTCATTTTAACCACAACTAAACATAATATCAAGGCTGTATATATCGAACTTTCAATCAAATTGACTGACATGTGGCCTCGCTCAACAGCGGCCTCGCTTCGTACACTCTATCATTTAGCCTCGATCTAAAATTTCCGGGAGTATGACGTCAACGTAACGGTTAATCTCCGCTTACGACGCCATTTGAAAATTTAATCAATCAATGAAATCCTTTATTCTGAACAAAGTTATCACCATTGTAATTTTTGACTAGAAATAGGAGTCAACTCTCTCTTCACCGTCTCCGAAAATGACCGATCGTTTGATTGACAGACGTTAACTCCACCTACATAATCTCGATTATCAAGTAACGTTTTTAATGGATGGGTACCATTAGCCTATTCGGTTTGAGACGTGGTTGCAATTCAATTCGTGTATCACATTTATTTTTACTACAAATTAAAAATAAGACTTTTGATATATAGATTAGAACCGAAAGTTTGAAAGGAATGGACCAAATCAATGAGGCGTAATTATAGCCGGCTTCTTGTTAGCCTGTGTGTACTCTTGTACTGTAACTGGTAGGCCTTCGTAACTCCCGAAGCAGACAAATAGGAAACAGTGATCCAATGGGGCTGCAATTTAACTGGGGTGATGTTAGGTGCGATGTTTATCAATTTCCATAATTTTTCTGTAAACGCAAGTGACAAAAGAGCGTATAATACCGACATCCAAACTCTCATTTTAACCACAACTAAACATAATATCAAGGCTGTATATATCGAACTTTCAATCAAATTGACTGACATGTGGCCTCGCTCAACAGCGGCCTCGCTTCGTACACTCTATCATTTAGCCTCGATCTAAAATTTCCGGGAGTATGACGTCAACGTAACGGTTAATCTCCGCTTACAACGCCATTTAAAAATTTAATCAATCAATGAAATCCTGTTTAAATCCAAGTCGAATCCAAGCCATCCGTGGGTCTACAGAGTTGATTTTGTGCTTGTTGTGTAAATAAAGATCTAATTTATAATTTCTATGACATCTGAAGCCTAAATAAAGACTTGCAATAATCAGATTTAGCTCTTGCATAATGTATGTTTAATATCCGATTGACTTTAAATTCATACACAATGTTTAAGGTCATCAGACGACAAAGCCTATTGATTATCAACAACTTCTGATAATTACTTCCAGAGTTATGGCCCTTGATCACTTTGAAAATCTCGTGCACGCTCTAGAGACTTAAATTAATATCCGATTGACTTTAAATTTATACACTAACACAGTGTGAAAGTTATATGCATTATTTAAATCAGTGAAACCACAAAGCCTAATGAATTTAAGCAATTTATAATAATTACTTCTAGAGTTATGGCCCTTGTTTCACTTTGTTCAACCTTGTTAATGCTCAATTGATGAAAGTTATCCGATATGTATGAAATTTATTTGCATCATTTAAATTTGTGAAACAGAGGTCTTTTGAATTTCAGCAATTTCCGTCTTTAATTTTTAGAGTTATTGCCCTTGTTTTACTTTGTGAACCTTGTGAACGTTTGAATGACAAATTGATCATCCGATCTATCTGAAATTTACATGCATTATTTGAATTAGTAAAACAAAAAAGTCTGTCAAATTTCAACAATTTCTGTAGACTACTTCCAGAGTTGAAGCCCTTGTTTCAGTTTGTAGAACCTGGTGAACCCTCAAACGATAAAAATTATAATCTGATCTGTATGGAACTGTCTTGTAAAGGCCCCCAATTACCTACAAAGGAATAAATATGCGACAACCCTTGTCAACTGCTCAGACGATTTAGCTGCTGTGGGTGTAATTTTCGTTGCCTGGCAACCTATCTTTTTCTTTTTGGTCTGTCTTGGATTTTGGGTGGCACTTAATATTTATCTTGGGAAAAGTAACTCAGCCTCACTGGTTTTTTATTTTTTTTTTTTTTTTCAGGAATGCAGAGATTTAAATATACCATTTCATTTACTAGTGGGTTATGCTAGAGATGTATTACCACAATTTGTTAGTGAAAATAAGATAGGAGGAGTCGTGACTGATTTCTCACCGTTACGAGTTCCCATGGCATGGGTAGAAGATGTTAAAAACCAATTACCTAAAGATGTTCCATTTAGTCAGGTTCAGTAACAAGTGTTTGTCTTAATGTTGGTTGTTTTGCTTACTGTCTGAACCATCGTAAATTTTAAACGGATTACTTCGATTATAAACAAACTACTTAACTTTGGTTATTATAAACTTACCTGTGTGTTTGTAAACAACTCCCGTTTAATAAAATCCATTGCACAACTAAATATCCCAACGAATAAAAAAGTTCTCTCTTGAAAAATTGAATTCCCACAAACTTTCGACACAGAAAAATACCAATACGGAAGCTGATTACGTCACTCTTCGGGAGATATCATTTCGTATAAGGGGTGACAGCATAGCAAATCGAAACGTTTTTCGGTACTTTTACGACAATTCAAGTTTTGAATTTGGAAGCAGTTTTCAGGAGGCGTAACTCTTCGTGGTGGCTCTTGCTGTTGTCCTGCGAAGAATGATCATTTCTTATCACAGTGAATTGATTCTCGGCTGATTTGTTTATTATTTTGTCAGCGAAAATAACGAAACTGACTGACACCAAAGTATCTTTCTAAACGACCGGAGATTGCATTTTACACATTTTTAACAAGCCAAAAATGAAGTTTGATAGCCCATGATGTAGCCTATTGATTGACCGGTTTAAATAGCTACATTAGATAGAAAGAGGTTGATGAAGGTTGAGTTGACGGTTAGATCAATCCATTTTCCGTGACTGCACCTGTTTGCTAGTTAATTACTTTGTGCTAACTTTTACATTTCATAAAATATTTACCCGATATACTTTCTGATTGAAATGAAATACTGAAATACAGAGATGCCCATATTGGTCTTTAAGTGTAGACTTCTGAAAATGGTGTAAAATCAGCCAAATTGCATCATATTGTGACGCTCTTTTCAAGCCTTCGGCTCTCAAAATATTAGCCGCCTACTCTGAGTAGTTAGATTAGCTGACCCTTTGGGACAGAATAACTCTGCTTCTGAAGTAAAGTATTTAGATGTTTGTATAATAATGTCTTGATTTCAATTGCTTATATTATAAATGTGGAAGTAATTAATGAGGGCTTGCTTCATTTACTTTTAGTAAACATTTTTATACACCCACATTTTAATGTGGACGACTGGACGTATAATGTTGTCGCCCCTGACGTCCGTTCATATTTGTTTGTGGATCCTTTGCAGGTCACAATTTTTATCTCATTTTGACAAAACTTGAAATATAGGTTTATATCTCAATGATCTTGGTTCCCTCCGATATTGACATGTATCAGACTGTAACTTCATGGATTATGGCTCCTGATTATACAATCAGTTTTTAGCTTGTGGATACTCTAGAGATCACAATTTTTTATCTGATTTGGATGAAACTTAAAAATGTTTGTTTATAACCCAAAGATCTCTGTTCCTTTCGATATGTATATATTCCTGGATTATGGCCCCTGATTGTACGAAAAATCTTGTTTGCTTGTTCTCTGTCCACAAAATCATGTTTGTAGCATGTTGTTTGTCCACCTTTTGCAAAATGTGGGCATATTTTGCATGGCATCCGCTTGTTTTTAGCCTGTTTTACACTTTGTGAATGTATAATTTCAGGTTGATGCTCACAATCTTGTACCGTGTTGGGAAGCGTCACCAAAATTAGAATATGGAGCTCGAACAATTCGGAATAAAATCCACAATCAGTTATCTCAATATTTAACTGAATTTCCACCAGTTATAAAACATACCTATAGAGTAAAAGACATGCCAGAGGTAAATAGAAATGAATCTGCCTGGAATCCAGCTGCAAGCTAAGTCCTCTTCACATCCTGTTTATTAAATTATTTTACATAATAATCATGGTTAGACTATATCTAATAGATCAGTATTTCACTAACTTATTGTCATCCGCCTTTCGAAGAAAGCAGTGGACTATTAAAATGGGTTTCTCCGTCTGTCTGTCCATCAAACGTTTTGGGACACAATAACTCTCCTTTCGAAGATGAGCAATTTCTGCTTAGGGTAAGCAGAGAAGCAATTTGATTGGTTGATGCTTTGGGACACAATAACTTGAGTTCTAATTAAGTGAGAGAGTGTATAGTTTCATTACATCAATACCTGGACTAATTTCAATAATGAGCATTTTCTACTCAGGGTAAGCAGAGCGATAAGCAATTTGATTGGTCGAGACTTTAGAACACAATAACTCTCCTTCCAATTGAGGTAGAATGTTCAAACTTTGTGTAGGTGTTCATTCGGTGAATGCTTGTGGTAAGCAGAGATAAGCAATTTGATTGGTTGAAGCTTTTGGGCATGATAACTTTGGTTATAATTAAGTGAGAGCGATGAAACTCTGAGTATAGATTCACGATATCATTACCTTGACTAAGTTCAATGACAAGAATGTTTTGCTTAGGCTAAGGAGCAATAAGCAATTTGGATTGGTCAAGACTTTGGAACATAACAACTCTGCTTTTAATTGAGATAGAATGTTTAAGCTTGATTTAGATGTTCATTAGGTTAATGTCTTGACTGAGTTCAATGATTAAGATTTCCTGCTAATATGTGTCATCTATTTATTTTGGGATTTTGGCGGGGGACATCCTCCTCACTGTTGGCTTGTTTATCTTCCTTTTAAAATTATGAAATGAATATCCAGTCGTCTGACATTAAAAACAACCAAAACATTACAGCATATTGTTGTAATATGGCAACGTAGGTTAAATCTTCACGGGTGTAAAATGTGCTGTGACTACAATACTCTCTAATCAATTTATACACACCTCCATGATATAAAATTGTATCAGTGATAATAATTATTTATGTCCGGAAGTACAAGAAAAATATTATTTGATTTTAGCGTGTAGATTGGAAGGCAGCAGAAGATAGGCTAGAAGTGGATAGATCAGTATTATTACCCGAATGGTGTACACCTGGAACAAATGGAGGCCTTAACATGTTAGAATCATTCCTTAAAGAAAGATTGAAATATTTTGCAACAGAAAGAAATATACCTAATAAAAATGCTCTTAGCAACCTGTCTCCATGGATACATTTTGGTAAGTACAGAAAAAAAAAGTTTCAGGTGATCTGAAGAGGTAGAAATAAGACACTACAGTGTTTTTATACGCCCACATTGAAAAGTGGTCGTATATTGTCATCCGTCCGGCATCCACAATTTCTTGTGGACGCTGTAGAGGCTAAAGTTAATATCTGATTGACTTTAGATTTATACAGAGTGTTTAAGGTCGTGTGACGAAGAAGCTCAGTAATTTTCAGTGATTTCCGATAATTACTACCAGAGTTATGTCACTTTGAAAAATCTTGTGGATGCTCTAGAGATCAAAGTTATCATCCGATTGACTTTAGATTGATAAACAGAGTTTAAGGTCTTGAGATGAACAAGTGTAATGATTTTCAATGAATTTTGATAACTTGAACAGCTAAATTCATAATATTAAATGTTTCGTATGGGGCAGAACTAAAAGCCAAACAAATTCTAATGATCTTCTGATAATTACTTAATGAGTTGTTACTCTTAATCAGATTTTAATGTATTATAAATGTTTCATTACCAACAATGACTTAGCTGCTGTGGGCGTATGTTTCGTTGCCTAGCAACCTATCTTTTTAAATAGATGAATTAACTCTAACTTCCAAGTTGTGTATACGGCCAGTGACACTAGAGTGACACTTGTCTTGTCAGGACTTTCAAGCTGTGTATAAAACTTCAATGAACAATGAACTCTGGAACACTGTGTTTTTATAACTATGTTTATATATATCTGATTTTAACAAGCCTAGAACTCAGACCTAACAGCTGAAACACTACATTGTCTCTGTCCCAGATACTGAGAATATGTCCTAAGAACCCAGCATGATGTTGGCATCCCAGCCTGTAAGCCGAGGTGGCTAACAGTATATCTCTCTAGGAAGCCCACGTGATGTCTTCCTTAGTAAATCCAAATGATGTCTGAAGGGAAATTTAACCTCACTCTTTCTTATATAGAAAGTATAGATGTGTTGTCAGCTATTAGGGCGGGACATTTCCCAGTTTTGGGTTAGTGTTTCGTATGGGCACCATTTTACGTCAACATTATTCTATTTAATTGGACTAATCTGTGCACATGATGACTGGACCATAGTACCTTACTTCCAGCAATTGATTGTGGCAGGAACTGTGTGTGAGTTAGTCTAAGAAAGTTGAATCTTGCAAAATACATACTTAGCCCATTTCTCGTTGTCAACCCTTTGTTTAACCACCTCAATATATTAAACAGAGCACCTTTCATAGAACTAAAATATATCCTTTAGTATTACAGAAAGTTATTAATTTTCCCCATAAAAGATCTAATGATTGGGATCAATCAAGTAAGTCCTGAGTCAAGGTGGCTCAGTAAGATGTAGTCTCACTAACCAGGTGATCATGGGTTCGTGTTTGCTGGGAATGTACCTCAGGGTTTTCCAGCCTGCTTTCCCATTGTCAGTGGTCAGGACAGAGGGCTTAGTTGGCAAGTAACAGCATCTAGTAATTTGGATGATATGAAAAACAGTGGTCCGGTGTTCATGTTAGCGTCCACTTAAAAAAAACTTGATGTCTGTGAATACACTAGATATTTTATACAGTCCTACTTACAAGAAGAAAATTAATCAAGTTGAGTTTCAGAAGATCTCTTCTTCCGTCTGTAGCCATTATTATATAAATCATGGTCATTGACAATTATTAAAATCTACTTTCAGTTTGATAAATCTTATAAAACTATGAAACCTGTTTCGAGGCCTGATGAAGTACACTTCAGTGTAGGACTGTTTGGATAAATTAATAAAGTAGAAATACATGAGACAAACTTTTAGACACAGGAACTAAACACGGACATTGCGAGATAAATCCGGTCTATCTGCATAAGGGTTTGTAATTTGAGGAACGGTCTTGCATATTATAGGTAACATATCTGTGCAGAGATCTGTTTTAATGGTGAAAGAATACAGAAGTAAATATAAAGACAGTGTGGAAGGATATATAGAGGAAGCAGTAATTAGACGAGAATTAGCTGATAATTTCTGTTATCATAATAAAAACTATGATAGCATTGAAGGTAAGGTTGCCACCATACCCAAGGGATGGCGATATATCGTGATAATTAGGTCAGGCGATAAAATTATCGTCTGAAATCTCAAATATCACTTCATCACAATATATCGCGATAATCCTTAAAAATATCGCGATATTTTCATTTTTGATCACAATTCACGTTAGATCCGTTCAAAATACTCCAAAAATGAAGACGAAATCAAATTGTAACAAGTGCCGATACTAGATCTATTCCAGTTTCCAAATTATGTGTTGTCGTAATATGATAGAATGAAAGCGTGTCGAATGCTGTCGACCCGTACTTTTTTCAAAATCACCTCCAAAATTACCATATTTTTCGAGGTATAAGTCGACATCATCTGCTAAATAATAGCACTTGCTATCGTGTAAAACAATTAACTACTTTTTTTTACATGTACACTATTCCAATCGAAATATTTGTTCACATTTCTCAGCTTGTTTATTTCTTTTTTTTTAAAACATAAATCCCATTCAAAATATTACCATATACCCGAGAATATGCCACCAAAATAGAATCTTTTCTCCGACGTGATAATTGTCACGTTTACATCTCTTGTAGTTTCACGCGTCTCGCAAGATTTCTACTTTAGTTTTCGATTATTGTATTATAACCACGTGTGGGTGTTTGTGTCAAATAGCTTTAAATAACATCCACTTCCACCGAAGTGATATCGCAGATAAATTAACAGATATATTGATTAATATATTGATTGTCACGTTTACATCTCTTGTAATTTCATGCGTCTCGCGAGATTTCTACTTTAGTTTTTATACGCCCACATTGAAATGTGGTCGTATATTGTTGTCGTCCCCGGCTGTCTGTCCATCCGGCGGTCCGGCGTCCACAATTGCTTGTTGACGCTCTAGAGGCCAAAGTTAATATCCGATTGACTTTAAATTTATACAAAGTGTTTAAGGTCATGAGGCAAAGAAGCCTATTGATTTTCAGCGATTTCCGATAATTACTGCCAGAGTTATGGCCTTTGAACCATGGGTTCCATGTCGGCCGTATATGCCGGTCGAGACCTGCGGCTATGGCAAATGACCGTTCCTAGATCTGACCTAACGGTCATTTTCACCCCGGAAAGAGTCTTTTTTTCCAAAACACTTTGAAAAATCTTGTGGACGCTGTAGAGGCTAAAGTTAATATCCGATTGACATTAAATTTATACACAGTGTTTAGGGTCATGAGACGAAAGAGTCTATTCATTTTCAGCAATTTTTGATAATTACTGCCAGAGTTATGGCCCTTGATCGTTTAAAAAAATCTTGTGGACGCTCTAGAGGCCAAAGTTAATATCCGATTGACTTTAAATTTATACACAGTGTTTAAAAGGTCATGAGACGAAGAAGCCTATTGATATTCAGTGATTTCTGGTAATTACTTCCAGAGTTATGGCCCTTGATCACTTTGAAAAATCTTGTGGACGCTCTAGAGGCTAAAGTTAATATCTGATTGACTTTAAATTTATACCCAGTGTTCAAGGTCTTGAGACAAACAAGTATATTGATTTTTTATGAATTTTTATGACTTGAACATCTAAATCCATGATGTTAAAAGTTTTGTATACTAAACATTAGAATGGGGCAGAACTTTATAAAAACCAAACAAATTCTAATGATTTTCTGATAATTACTTAATGAGTTGTTACTCGTAATTAGATTTTAATGTATTATAAATGTTTCATTACCGAAAAAAGTAAAAATATGCGACAACTCTTGTTGACTGCCCGGACGGTATATCTGCTGTGGGCGTATGTTTCGTTGCCTGGCAACCTATCTTCTATTATTGTATAATAACCACGTGTGTGTGTGTGTGTGTGTGTGAAATGGCTTTATTTAACGTTCGCTTTCACCGAAGTGATATCGCAGACAAATTAACAGATATATTGATTTACAAGTTAACAGATGATATATTGATTTGGGGTGTTATATATTCTTAAAATATGTGATATCTAGATGATAAGTTTATACTTGTTTATACATATTGTCGGCTCACATCAATGGGATTAAAATGTCCGACAGTGGAGAAACCACGAGGTAAACATGTAGATTAAAATCATAATCACCTTTATTGGATTGATGAATAGCCCGACAAAGGGGAAGCAACGACTTCTGTTTAAGATTAGATTGACGAATTGTCCGACAAAGGATTAAGTCAGTCAATCAAGGCAGATTAAGTAGTTAATCAAAGTAGGTGTATAGACGGTATAACACGATAAATACGTTCATCACTTAATTACCTAATCAATCTAGCCTATTATCAACGATAATCGGGTTGAATGGTAGTTATACACTCAGTAAACTATATTAATTTTGGAATTTTGAATATTATTCACCATGTCTTGATGTTTGATTGGGCATATTCCTGGTCGGACAATTTAGGACGTTTGAAAAATAGCGTCGGACATGTCCGGAATATAAGGGCGAAATCCCATCTCTGCAACTGACCGACATTAGTCTCATGTATCAAGTACATCTCACTGAATAATATTAATCGTTATCATACACGTGTTGGTTATGCTTTGATATAGTCTGGTCCCATACCCCCAACGAAGAAAGCATCCACAATATTTATAATTATGATTGATATTATAACGGTAAGGATCCCCTATTCCGAATGATACAGTTAAAATGCATGCAACAATATACGTCGCCATAGTAACGAAGAGGTGGTTTATCGTTGGTTACCCAGTCCGTTGAAAATTACATTGATATTTTACATCGAAAAATTGTCTGGATAATATTTCTTTTATTCTTTGAATAAAATGGCTTCCGAGCTTGAAACATACTGCTGCTGACACGAAAAAGAGCATTTCTTCTGTCACTCGTATGGGGATATTTTAGTTTAAAAAGAACATCCGACAAGTCTGTTAACCAGATATTGAGTTAATGAATACTTATTCGGTATTCAGGGCATTCCAGCTGATCAGAATAGAATGTTCTGAGGTGACGATATCTACAAGAATAATCTTACCCCAGCATATATACATGTATATACGGCTCATTTCATCATTTCATCGCTAAATACCAAATGGATACACTAGATATTGAATGTTTGAAGCTCAATAATTCTAATTATCGTGATCATTTACTCCGGTCGAGTATCATGAGATATCGTGATATTTTTCTTCTATATCGTTGCAACCTTAAAGATAGGTTCCCAGAAAAGTATTTATCGGGTGGTTATTTCCAATAAAAGTATGGCAATTTTGGTATATATGGAAAGTAGATCCAATCTTACTAGAAAAATACTGGATTCCCTGAAAAACACTCATGGAGTGTATACAGGACAAAAATGTCATGGTTCCCCTAATCGACAGCCCGACGATTAGGAATATCTGCTCGTGTGATGTCAAAGGTTGCACGCAGAGATTGAGCGCTTGGATAAAAATCATGGAAAAAGACTTGGCCAGTGGATAATCCGAGAATTTAATTAGGATTCGATATTTTTAATAAATGGTTAGCGATTAAAGACAACATTTTCTTGAGTAAGCAATGAATTCTCCTCCGACTTCGCACAGGTAAGTCACGTGACACAGACGTGACCTCTTTTAATCGATTTTTTATAGTAAGGCTATTCCTTGATAATTACAATGTTTTGAGAAGGATTTGAAGCAAATTTATGATAAATTAATTAGTTTGAATATGTTTTTAGGCCAAATATATCATCAAATCACCAAGTTTGTACGCGGGAATGTATCTTTAATTGAAGGTTATATGACTAGATACATAATTTCATACAAAATACTGTAATGTCTTTAAAGTGCTATTATGATGGGGTTTTCCCTCATATATTAATAAGGATACCATTACATAAGACCAACTTTGTAATGGTCGGGAATAAAATAGTTGTGTGCCTGACAGATACATGATGCATCTAGTGACCTGATTTGCATCATTTAGATTTCAGAGTTAAGCACTGTTGAGTCCCTTTAAATTACCCTACATATTTTGTGATCCTCTATACCCTGTATGATATACCATTCCTTGTATGATATCTCATACACTGTATGATACTCTATATCCTAAATGATAATCATATCTGTATGATACTCCAGATGCTGTGTTATCTATACTGTGCATGATGCCCTATTCTGTGATCTTTGTTTGATATCTTATAATGGCGTATCCTGGTGTATCCAATTGTGATGCCCTGTGCCATGCCCTGTGTGATATCTATACCCAATGTGACAATCACCCCATATGTGATACCTAAACCGTGCATCGCCTTATACCCTGTGTAACCCTATTTACTGTATGATGCCATATAAGGACCTTTCCATATTAATTTTTCCTGTCAATGTAAATATTTTGTGTATGGTTTAATAGTCTTGGTCACCGAGAACTTCCTAGTCGTCAACGTATGGAGGGTCTGGGACCGAGTCAATATTTTGACGAAAAGTCCATGGCCCATGGGTAACCGGGAGTTTGGTTTTTAATGTGGTTGATTATCCAGTATCTTTAGCCAAGTCAAGTAAGAGTTGCGACCCTTCCCGCAATAAATCCCTTGTTTTATGACTAGTTACCTCCCTTAGCCTTTGTCTATTATGATGTAAAAGACCGGATAATCTAGCCGATGACATATTATTCTCAAATGTTGACAATGCATCCAGATTAATATTCTGCGAATATTAGTCTGGATGATAGAGACTAATGGTTTGAGGGTTTGCTGTCCTGTTCAACAATGATTAATTCTTTACATTTAAGGAGCGTATGATTGGGCAAAAGAGTCTTTAAAGTTACACTGGGATGATAAACGAGAATACATTTATACACGACCACAACTAGAACTATATGAAACACATGATGATTTGTGGAACGCAGCTCAGGTAATATATGTTTTTTGGGGGTTGAAAATATTGAATTGTGTTAATCTGTTATATTGTATTATTTGGATTAGTAGAGATGTGAATCTATTATTGCTAATCAATGACATGGAATCGATGTAGTCAATAATTCATGCATCAATTATAGTTTGATTTGGCCACTGAGCTAGGATCTGTCACTATATTTTTTAAGGTAGCAAAAATAACCAAATAAGCTGTGGATGATGCTTCAAATTCAATTTATTTTCTTCTTTAATTATACATTGGCATCTATTTTAACTCGCCAAGTTCCATCAATATGTCACTGTTTTAGTCATATCAGAGCATATTGTGATATGATATGTGTACATATGGGAAAGGGGTAAACGATCACTTGATTGCAATACATTCTAGTCAAGTATTACTCTCAATTCATATACTCCCATTTTATTGTCACCTAGTGATGTGCCTATATGGGTATAATCGGTGTTAACACTCTACAGACTATATTTATCATCTGGTTGTTCTGGAATTGATATATGTTGTTTACATCAATGAGATGAAGAAACCTATTTAATTTCCGTATATGCATTATTTAAATTAGTAAAACGAAGAAGCCTATTGAATTTCAACAATTTCCGTTAATTACTTCTAGAGTTATGGCCCTTGTTTCACTTTGTTGGACCTTGTGAACGCTCTAACATCAAAAGTTATCTGCTGATCTGTATGAAATTTATATGCGTCATTTAAATTAGTAAAAGAAGTATCCCATTGAATTTCAGCAATTTCTGTTGATTAGTTCTAGAGTTATAGCCCTTGTTTCACTTTGTTTCACCTTCACTTCAGCAATTTCTGTCAATTACTTTTACCGTAAATTTATGGCTCTTGTTTTACTTTGTTGAACTTGTTGTGAATGTTCGAATGACACAAATATACATTATTTGAATTAGTAAAACGAAAAAAATTCAACAATTACTTCCAGAGTTAAGGCTCTTGTTTCAGTTTGTAGAACCTTGTGAGCCCTCAAACGACGAAAATTATAATATGATCTGTATGAAATTGTCTTGTAAATGCCCCAAATTTTCTACAAAAGAATAAATATGCGACAACCCTGTCGACCCCTTGGACGATTTAGCTGCTGTGGGCGTATGTTTCGTTGTATGGCAACCAATCTTTTAGCTTGTGGACACTGTAGAGGTTACAATTTTTATCTGATTTAAAATTTTATCTGATGGTAAGAAAAAAAATCATGTTTTTAGCCTTTGGTCCCCCTAGAGGTCACAGTTTTTATCTGATTTAAAAAACAGTTTAAATTTATCACCGTTACATGATAACAGACCTAAACTGCACAGCAAATGGCCGCTCCTCATACGCAGATAGTGTAAAAGTATGGTATATCAAGGTTGTGGACCCTCTAGAGGTCACAATTTTGATTTGATTTTGATGAAACTTTAAATTTATGTTTAAATCACAAAGATCTAGGATCCTTTCGATATTTGTACATATTGGTTTGAAACTTCCTGGATTATGGCCCCTGTCCTGATATACGAAAAAGTTGCAATTTTGGCTTGTGGACGGAGACTGACCAACAAATGTAATACCAAGGTTCTGGACACTCTAGAAGTCAAAACTTTTATCCGATTTTAATAAAACTTGAAATGTATGTTTAGAACCAAAAGATCTCTGTACCTTTCGATATTTGCTCGCGCATATCGGACTGTAATTTCCTGGATTAAAACACCTGACTGTACAAAAAATCCCATTTTTTTAATTTTTTTTTTTTTAGCTCATTCATTGAGAACTGAATTATGAGTTATTAAATTTTAATTACAATATAAATCCCTAAATTTATTGCCACCTGTAGGCCTAAAGATGTCAGAATGGTTCATGCGGTAATAGCGACAGTCTCCCACCTTTTCTATAAATAGAGTTGAAATAACACCATTTATTAGGAACTTATTTGTTTGTTGTACATGTCTTATGATCTTCTAAGTAACTTTTTTTCCATATAATTGTGTCATGTGTTATGTAGGATCTAGATTCTGAGTTATTAAATGTTGTTGATAATGATAAAAATCACCAAATTTTTATCAGTATCTGTGGATAGGATTAAAAAAATAAAGTGGGAAGGTAAGGATTTCTTGTACTATGTCTAAATAGTCACAAGCACAGCAACTAAAATATAGTGCCAAGCAAGAGATAATTTGTTCCCAATTCAAATGATATTTTAAAAGTCTTTACCAAGTTTTTGTTAACAGTTATTGGCAACATCAGTAAATGGATCATGACCAGGGTTGTAAACCATATTAAAGCATTTATTGTATGTGTAAAACGTTTGACAGAAAACGTGGCATCTTATTAGCAAAATGAAATGAAATGGGGTTTAACGTCCTACTGTTCTGCTCCTAAACTTGGCTAATGAAGACGGGCATATGCCATACAGTGTGCTATGAAGGAAATTTCGCCCGGGCAGCAGAACTACTGCCTACTCTTATATCGAATTCCAACTGCCAAGGGATCTTTTACGTGCACGCCAATGTGTACACGGGACCTCGTTTTTTTGTCCCATCTGAACGACTAGACAGCTGTCCTTGTCAGGCCCTCCACATCTTATTATCAATTATTACACATCCCAGTTTGTATTAACAATATACTATGGAACATGATTATGACATAAATAATATCAGTGGGAATTCACTATCACCAAATTGTTTATCAGTATTTTATATTTCAAGCATCAAATGGTAACAGAAGGTAAAATGCATGGATTTTTACGGATGTACTGGGCTAAGAAAATATTAGAATGGACACCTAATCCGGAAATAGCTTTAAAAGAAGCTATTTATTTAAATGATAAATATCAACTGGATGGTCGGGATCCAAATGGTTATGTTGGTATGTATTACAAATGCAAGAATAAAGGCACATGACTAATTCAAAATCCCCTACGTGCAAGCGAATTATTGAAATAATTATTAGTCCTGAAATGACCTAGTTTGTGTCGAGTGGACGTTAATCCCATTTCTCTCACTAATTCAAAATGATGTGTTTGAGAATCAGATGTTAAGATGTATCATTTAATTAACAGAACATAATTTCTTCAACATTTCATTAGTAAAAGTACTAGTTCAGCTATGAGGTCACAGGAATTATGACATCATGGACTTGGATACTTTACAAACATGAAAGGTTAGTTTACATCATAAAAGTAAAAATGATGAAATGGACTTGAAAAATGAGAACTATGCATGATTATAAATTACTTTGAAACCTGGTGGATTTAACTCATTTAAACCATTTGACCAAACTGAATTAAGTCTGTGAATCCAAAGACTTTCTGCTGTAGGTGCATGTTTTGTTGTCTGTCAACCTCTTTTAAACTATCAGGAAGGACTAGAAGCCAATCAATTTTAAACTATATCTGATAATTATTTAATGGGTTGTTACTCTTGATCAGTTTTATATTCATGAGACGAACCCGTGTATTGACTTTCAGTAAGCAATTTCCGATAACTCAAACAGCTAAAGTTATCACCTGATTCTGATTGCTGATATATGTTTTGTATAATTTTGCACCAAGAAGAACAACAGAAGCCCATCAAATCATTTAAATGCCCTCATTATCTACTAAATAATAAATATGCAACAAACATTGTGAACTGCTTGGATGACTTGGCTGTTGTGGGTGTATGTTTCATTGTCTGGTAACCTATCTTTACTTATACTGCATGTGGAATGTTTCTGATTTTCTGACAGATACAGCTAATTTTGAGCAGGAGATAAATTATTTTACTGTAATCTTTTATCCGCCAGGTTGTATGTGGTCTATTTGTGGTATACATGATAGGGGCTGGAAAGAGAGACCTGTATTTGGTAAAATACGCTATATGAACTATAAAGGATGCACACGAAAATTTGATGTTCCAGCATTTGTTAAGGCCAATTCTCACGGTGCGACTTGTAGTAACTACTTGTAGTATTGACCCGAGATGCAGCGTGAGAACACCCTAGTCGTACCAACTTTTACAAGCTCCCAACCAGTTGAAAGCGAGTTGAGCGAAATAGAAACTTCCCTATTTTAGTCAACAGATCGTATGAAATTAACCAATCAGAGACGTCGAGTATTAGTACAAACACAAGTTCTCTCCCTTTGTTGTTGGTAAACATGGACGCGAAGCGCACCCATCAAGGGCCTTCTTCTTCAAATTCACGTAATAGGGAACTGTACGCGCCGGCAGTGGGTCTACGCAGTATCCACTGTCTAACCCAGACGGATTTGGGTTTTCTCTTTTTCTTTTTGTTCTTATTTATCAAATGTAGGGCAATAATAGCCAGCGTCTCTTCGTCGCTTGATGACGCCATTATGCTAAGACAAGACGAGATTATCGCGAGATTCCAAGTCGTATCAACACATTTATATACGATTTTGTAATCTACATGTACATACTACAAATAGTTACTACAAGTCGCACCGTGAGAACGGGCCTTTAGAAAATATCGGGTCAAGAAACCTCTTCCAGCTAAAAAGTAACAAGACTTGTGAGTTGTAGTAATGCGAATACTAATGCTGAAAATGTTGGTCAATGGATCCAAACCTATAATGAAAGTCAAGGGACACTATTCAAGTTAATGAGTAGGCTAATTCACCACAAGAACAATGTGACATTCTTTGTAAATCATGTGCTGATTGTGAAATAACTGGAAGTCTGAAGATCTGAGGTAAATAATGAAGGACATTCAGATTTCAGACAAATGTTGGTCAACTTTCTTTAGATATGAATAATTTTATTGAATTGTTAATCGTTCTGATGGGGCCTTGATTTTAATGGAGGGATGACACATTCCTTCTCATCTAATCTCTTACATCTTGAGGTGTGGAACAGAGATGGCTTCTTCAATAATAACTCTAGCTGTTGGTTTGAAGACATACAACTTCCTTAGGGAAGAATGATTGATTCATTATCAGATTTCGTACAATTATCTGTTGTTCTCTATGGTACACCAAACCCTTTCATTTTGATTTGTAAAAAACACTGCCACTATATGATTTATTATTAAAACACTGCCACTATGTGATTTGTTATATATTATTTGTTATAAATACATAGACGTATATTCAGGGGTGGATTAAATGACTCCTTGCAAAGTGTGCTATCAACATTAACAAGTGTATCGGTGGCCCTCCCAATGAGATTTTGAAAATTACATTGAGGTAAATAAGATTTAGCACACTTTCCTAAGGGTTTAGATACAAACTGAATCCAATGATTTTGTTGCCCGAATATGTCGAAAAACAAATGCAATTGTCCTGCATACTTTTTTTTTATCCAAATGCACCAACTAAGATGGGCATGTGTTATGAGGAAAATTTTGTGTGCCCAGTCATTCAGATCGGAATTTGAAATAGGTCCACTGTCATTAGCCAGATTGGTAAAGGAAAGTGAAACCCTAATTTCTTTATATTTTTAAATAAAGATAGCATATTTGTTTTCTCCAAGGATTAGGCATCTTTTTTTGGAGATTTTCCAAAAAAATTGGGACGGAGGCTAACACTTCTGCTATAATCCGTGTCTGCATACAGTAGTTGCTTGCCGAAAAGATGACATCACCTCAAAGGCCTTATAATCTACAGTGCATGCCGAAGCCCTCAGTTAATTTGGATAATCAATTTCACTCTATTTCTTCTTTCATTTCTAAGGTTGGTCTATATAGGTATAGCTACCGTTTCAAACCACATGCTTTGCAAAACCAAATACATCAATTGTTAGGCTGAGAAATAAAACAACTGTAACCACACAATTTAAGAGTTTTTTTTATATTTTTCTATGAATAATATAAATAATATCACAGTTAAAGCTGTAAACACAAACATATTAATAAAGACAGTACAACAAATCATAATATAAAGTAACAAAGTTATTTCAGCTACAGTTTTCATGTCATAGATGATTGGTTGGTTGTATGTGACAAGGAGTAGGTCCTCTGGTTTTCTCCCACTGCTAAAGACCCCTAAGTGCAAGCCAATTATTGAAATAAAACAGAACCATATGTTAGTCCTGAAATGACCTAGTTTGTGTCGAGTGGACCTCTCTCTAGAGACAACTTTTACAAACAGAGTTTCAATTTGTAACTGTACCATACAAAGATAGTAAATAGGCCAGGCCTATCACATTTATAGATATTAAGTTATTGCTATCGAAAGTGCATTATGTCAAACAAATCATAACTCATGTTCTGGTCATATTATGTCAGTTATGAATCCCATCATAGAGGATAGGCCTACAGAGAATATTTTTAAAAATTAAAAGTCTTACTTTATAAAATAAGAAAACAGAATAGTTGATGTATGAACTAGCTTTGGCTTAAAAAAGAAAAAAAATGTGCAACTTGCAGAGGGTTGAAGTAGTAGCCCTACTTAATGGCAATTTCTATTGTACTATAAATTAAGAGCTAACCATCTTTCATTTACATCAAAATAAACTACTGAATTGGACCAACCTGACTGGTTGTGAAGGTATGTTCAACAATTTGGCTTAAACTGTTCAACACCCAGATCAAATATATTACATTTGGTTGATGGATAAAAACTAAATCTAGTTATTGCAATAAGGCCATAAGATTAATATACATGTATTTCTACAACAAGTTTTAGTGTTGATTTCGTTTGATTAGATTTCAATATTGAATTATTTCATCTTTGACTAAATCAAATTACATATTTATTCTGAATTAAACAAATTATAAAATAAAAATACATTTTGGCATTTGTACCATTACATTACAATTGCATAAAATAAAAAGTTGGTTTGTTTTTGGCAAGAGAATAAAATCTACAATAATTCTATTACAAATAGAATTCTTTTACTTTTTCAAATAACTATTTATATGGTTTGGCAATCATTGTTATTCATCCATCTTCTTAAAGATGCATTATGTAAAAGCTATATCTGCCTATAGCAGATCTTTATTTTGGCTTCAAATGTTAAAACATACATTATGCAAGAGCTAAATCTGTCTATTGCAGGTCATTTTTTAGGCCTGAAATGTTATCTAAATTATTAATTAGACATTATTTAACCTATCCAGACCATAATCAACTCTAGATGGTTATGCTAGCCTGCGATCTTTAGTGGATTATGAGTTGATTTACTGCATAACTTTCCTTCACGATTTAACGATTAAATAATAATCGAGACTATGCTGTTTATCGTACTGACTTTAGAAATGATGATTGAGACTAGGCGAAATTTCAAACGCTTAGTTCTCGATTCATAGTGGATCAATTTGAATGAAATTTTCAGCAAATTGCCTTTATATTATCTAGTTTTTAACTATTATTGTGAGAACTGCCAACTCATTATCAAATCTCCCATAATGTATCTTTAAATAAACTATCATTTAAACATTTATTCATATGAAAAGCCTATAATAAACTCTCTAGCTAGACCGTGGATGGATGTGATTTACATAGACCTTACAGATCAATCAAGTGAACAAATCTGTCAATCATTTGCTGAGATACAACATTTAGAGTTTATGATTTGTTCAGATCCTAGAAGTTTTCAAGTAAACGTTGAATGTTTGTTCAACCTCTCAATCAATTCAATAATAAGAAGATTCCCAAGGAGCTTATATTTCTTTGGCTTACTGGGCTGAAAGTGGAACCAATAATTGTATCTCATCACCAGTATTATCTACAGATTATCATCCCACGAATCTACATATAAAATCCAATAAGATCGAAGATTTTATTTTTGACCAAATCAGAGGTCTAGTCATGTAATTGGTCACTAGGATATGTGCAGTCATCTAAATGCAACAAATAAAAGATTATATTCTCAGTATAAACCTGGACACAGAGTTTTACTTACACGATTGCAAACAATTTTGACACAATATGGTAATAAAATTTACTAAAAAAGACAAGAATCTACGTAAGTCTCAGACCAAATGTAAATTCAAGCTTATCTTTTTTAACCAAGAAACTGTCAATGTTATTCAGAGATAACAACAGTTAATCAGACATAACTATAGTTATCTATTAATGCATTGGGAGGTAAGCCAATGGCCCATGAATGTAAACTGCAATCAGAAATAGTTTTTCGGGTCATGGTTGAAGATTTACTGTAAATACTTCTGGCTTTACCAGCACTGTGACTTAATCCTTTAACAGGAATCTGAAAGATATAAAAATCATTCTATTAGACAATGTTGACATGCTAAATAAATTTTAACACTATAGTATAATGATTAATATTTTTAATAAAAGGAATAACATTTTTGTCCAGAAAAGCATTATTAGTATGTGCAGGAGGACCGCACCACACACGATTACATAAGACAAACGTACTGACAGGACACACTATACAGACACCACAAACAAACATATTAATCAGATCAAGTGAACGGAATGGATCGGGGGTGGGGGGCGCTAGCCATAAGTGTCCATTGTGCTGTACAGTCCTGGGCTTGTAGTGATACAGACTTCATTCAAAATGGAAAATAAACTAATTAAAGGGCATATTATATGTTGTATAATACTGGTGTGAGTCGACATGATCGGCCGTGTGCTACATGCAACTTATACAAGCACATTGGAAAAAGTTACCATTTTTGTGATTTACATTGAATCATTTCCGTTTATACTCCCAATTTCAAATCAGTTATGTTCGGCTAAATACGTGAGGAATCTCAATCGAATGACAATCTCTAGCATTTGGTTATTCCAGTTTACACCAAGGGTATTTATTGCACATGCTCTCCAGATATATGGCATCACTGTTTGACATACTTGTGGAATATGTCTAGCCGGGTTCTTCAACTCCCTTGTTACAAATGCTACTGAACGATTATGGTACACGATTCGTGTAATGGTAAAATGTTTATTTTGTCTTAAATATTGGATATCAGAAGCCCGTCTTTTCCGGGTAAGGTCACAATATCAATCTTGATTTAAATTGACAAATAATTCATGTTTTCAATAGCAATGCAAGTCTAAATACGTTTCTGAATGTCCAAACCACGCTCGACACTGAGTCGATACAAACTCTATTTTCGTCTAAAAACGAAAAGCGCAAAGTCATCGATGTTGGTGTTCATACAACTTCCCGAAGTCGCGGAACAAAAATGACACATTTTACGGTCAGTTTTTTTGACATTGATAAAAATAGTATCAGTGGTGCTTTAGCATTGCTATTTTCAATGTCGAAGACTTTGGATGATATTGAGTTACTGTCTTATTAACTGTGGTAAATTTTAAACGAATTTCGTCGATTGTGAACAAACTACTGAAAAATTGTTATTAATAACTTGCCTATGTGTTTGAAATCACCTCGGTTGAATAAAATCATTTATTCCAACCAGTATAAGGGAGTGGAATAAACTCAGCCCCCCTGCAAGAAACCCAAGAACTCTTAAAATATTCTCCGAAATTCTCTCCAAATCAGATATAAAAATTCCATCTTTTTACTACAACGGTCAGCGGAAACTCCAGATAATCCATAGTAAACTTAGACTCCGATGTTCTGACCTACAGAGCCACAAATACCTCAGACACGTTGCTGACAGCCCCGCATGCCTCTATATGGTCTTATTTTTGAAGATCCTCATCACTACCTCTTGCAATTCTCCTTACATTCAAATGCACGAAAAGAAACCATAGACAAATTACAATACGATCATAAATACATTAACTATCTCTTGTTCGGGTCCACAACCCACTGTACCGATGTAAACAACAATATTTCTAATCAAGTCCACACGTTTATTGACAAGTCAAACAGATTTTAATCTTGTTCATTAACAGTTTTAATTTACAATAAAAAAAAATCCATTGCACAATTTTAGTTCTCTTGAAAAGTCAATGTGTTTGCTTGTATTTTCGACTAAGTTCATCACAAAGTGTACATGTCAGTGATGAGCTCAACCATCTTAAAGGACAATATTGGTGCCAGTCATTATCACATATGTGATAGAGCTGGTTAAAAACATTCCAAATATAATTTTAACACAGAGATCATTGCTACGATAGCTGATTAATACAGGAGTGTTACTTGTATAGTTGAATTTTACTACATATGCTTACATTCGTATTTCGTGTAGCAGATCATGACTCATGCTGGCATTACATGGGTTCTTTGGGTTTGCATCCTAATTGTTGTCAAATTTGAGTGAAGTATGTGTCACTACAGTAAAGACCCGGTGTGTGATTACCGTTTGGCGCATGCGCAGTTGTAGGAGTCAACTCACACCGTTACAGTCGCGGTGTGCATTGACTCCTCGTGATAGGATTTCCCCTAAGATTTTCTTACGATCAAATCAATATATAGACTATTATGTACCGATATTTACAGTATTACCACCAAGAGAGGATGCAAATTGACGATCTTTATTATTATTATTTAGTATATACCCGTCCACAATGCGAACATTCTCTCTTGTATTTGGGCTGTCTACATGCATGTTTGAATGTATGGGACGGTATAATAAATTTATATATTTATGTTAAAGAAATCGGAATAAGAAATTCCATACTTTTATATTTGTGATAAATGAAGCCACGAAATATCAAAGGCCTTAATCTTCCTTTGGAGGTGAATTAATTGATAATTTCAAGCCAATCATCAATTTGTATGGTTCCCACTGATGATACGTGTGAAGAACGACTAATCACTAAAAAAACCAAAAAAACAACGGCAACAAATCACGAACGATAGAAGTATCAATTTCAAGCCAATCAACTTAGATCCGTTGATCGTGTAACTACTCATCACTAAAACAACAGCTAATCACGATAACAAGTATGTTTATTAATGACAAAACTCTATCAAGCACATGATATACTTTTCCTTGTACTGGCCAGGAACCAACTCGCACCGCAGGAACTAGATATAGTTTCGTTGTTAAGGCAAACATCAGTTTCGGACATGCGCAAGTGCCCAGGAGAAAACACACACCAGGAGTCAACTCGAACTATCACACCGGGACTGTACAGCGCAGTGGACGCTTACGGCTATAGCCCCCGGATCCATTCACTTTTTTTTTTAATTGTCTGTATGTTTGTGTTTTCCTGAGTATGATGTCCTGTCCGTGTATTTGTTTTTGTGTAAATTTTCTGTGGTGCAGTCGCCCTGCACTTACAAGTTACTATTAGGACTAGTATAGACGTCATAGGTACCGAGATGGCGAAATTGAATGGTGGTCTGCCTCCTGGTGGTTTGGGCAAATCATTATACCCTTATTATCTCCCATTAACTTGATTATGGTTACTGAGTACTAAAAATAAAATATACCGTTCTATTCTATTGTATGTCAGATTTATTTTAGATCGCTTTATGTACAACTGTTATTTAGCTGCCCAATTTGTTGGCAATCCACTACAATACCAGCTGTTTTATTTATCTAACATGGAGGACAGTTTACAGCTAACTGGGTATTTACATTATAATTACAATGAAAGAAATCAACGTCAACAACATTTCATTTATTATTATGATTCAGTCCACTCCGTTTACCGTTGTCAAGCAATTTCATATAATAATATAAAATCTAGATTACAAAAACGGGCTGGACAATAGAAATATCTCTTTGGACATTTTAGAAACAACCAGAGAGAACAAGAAAAAAATGACCGTTATAAATGTTAATCAAGTTCGACAAAGGAGTTCATATAAAAATAAAACAGTAATTATTTATGGTTATTTCGTTTCGGGCAACAGCCATATTATGCGCGTTCCACAATTTTGATACAACCTCTAAGTAAAATGGAGTAATTGCTTAGAGCTGACGACGGAAATATTGTAAATTTATTAAGATGCAAGCATTAAGAAAACGACATTTGACCTCATCTCAGTCTATTTATTTCTTATTACTGCTGACAACAGTTATAATAATATGTATGATGATGTTAATGGTGTTTGTTTGGTCGCCAAGTAATTTTGAAGAGGACCAATTTCGATTTTCTAGGTCGATCAACACAAATGAAATAGTGACAATTCACACAACCCAGAAAATCAAAACACTACCAAGGGACACTTCCTGTACTTTTCACACATGTTTGGAAGTTTATCAATGTGGTTACAACGATGAAACGAAAATTAGTGTCTATGTTTATCCAATCAAAAGTTTTGAAGATGAAAACTCAGAGGAACTGACACTCTCACGATCAAAAGAATTTGATGAAATATTACAAGCGATAACAGACAGTGATTTTTATACATCTGATCCAAACACAGCTTGTCTTTTTATACCTTCTGTCGATATGTTGAACCAAAATAATCTCAACCTTAAAAATGTTGGCCGAGTTTTGGCCTCGTTAGAGTGGTGGAAAGATGGATCAAACCATCTTTTATTCAATATGGTGGCTGGATCATCTCCTGATTTTCACAGTGTTGTAGAAGTTGATACTGGTCGCGCAGTCATTGCTGGTTCTGGCTTCTCCTCGCTGTCATATAGACGTATTTTTGACGTTTCTATACCAATGTTTAACCCCCTTGTATCCGGCCTTCAGCTGCCTGTCTTCTCTAACAATCATGCAAAAAAATACCTGTTGATCTCTTCACAGTTGGGCCTTCATCAAGAATATTTACAAGTTTTGAGGCAACTTCATGAAGAAGACGATCAATTTCTCTTATTAAATACCTGTCCTAATCATCAGAAACCATGGAATTATACACAAAGGTGCCACAATTCTAAAATCTACAATTACCCTCATGTGTTACAGAACTCAACTTTCTGTCTGGTATTGAGAGGCTCTAGGCTTGGTCAGCCTGCTCTCAGTGATGCAATGCAGGCTGGATGTATTCCAGTTGTTGTAGCTGACGGATATGTGATGCCGTTCTCAGAAGTTTTAGATTGGACAAGAGCAGCAGTGGAAGTCCGAGAAGATGATTTAGCAGATATAATCAAAATTATCAAGACTTATAGTCCAGAAAGAATCCAACAAATGCAGAAACAAGTCAAGTACTATTATGATAAATATTTCAGCTCATTGAAAGCTATCGCCCTAACAACATTACAAATAATCAATGACAGAGTTTTTCCATATGCAGGAAAATCCTATGAATATTGGAATGATATTCCCAAATCAAATGTGGTCCAGAATCCATTATTCCTTCCACTGTCCCCTCCAAAATCTCAAGGTTTTACTGCCGTTATTTTAACTTTTGACAGATTGGAATCTTTATTCCAAGTTATTAAACGAGTAGCAAAAGTTCCCAGTTTGGCTAAAGTTGTTGTTGTATGGAATAACCAGAACAAAGCTGCACCACCTATGTCTTCGTGGCCGTACATCGGTAAACCGATCAAAGTCATACAAACAAAGAAAAACAAACTTAGTAATCGTTTTGTTCCGTATGATGAAATCGAAACTGAATGTATTTTAGCGTTGGATGATGACATCATCATGTTGACAGACGACGAAGTTGAATTTGGTTATGAGGTGTGGCGCGAGTTTCCAGATCGTCTTGTCGGCTTTCCGTCACGATTACATCTCTGGGATAACAGCACCCAAAAATGGAAGTATGAATCCGAATGGACCAATGAGATTTCAATGGTGTTAACCGGTGCTGCCTTCTATCACAAGTATTTCAGTTATCTTTACACGAACTCGATGCCCGGAAATATGAAACTGTGGGTGGACGATCATATGAATTGTGAAGACATTGCTATGAATTTTTTAATGGCAAACATGACTGGCAAGGCACCAATAAAAGTTACACCGAGAAAGAAGTTTAAGTGCCCACAGTGTGTAAATAACGAAATGCTATCAGCTGATTTAACTCATATGGTTGAACGGTCTGAGTGTATCAATAAATTTACTAGTATTTATGACACGATGCCGTTAAAAAGTATCGAATTTCGTGCTGATCCTGTACTCTATAAAGACAATTATCCAGGAATCCTCAAAAAATTTAATGATGTTGGAAGTTTATAAAGTAACTTCATTATATAAAAAAAAACAGGTACATGTAGGCCTAGGCCACAATTCAAATGTATTAAAAGGGACTAACTTGTGTTAATTTTCTCAAGAGACATTCACTGGGTGAAATTAGTACCAGAACAGAAAATTGGAGTAGACAATTATTTGTCGGGATAACGAAACTTAGGTTGCAGTTGTAATTTGTAAATGTATGTAATGAAACTTGAAAGACTATGTTTGTATACTGTACATGTATGCTGCAATTAATGTTTTCAGGATAATGTATTGTTACAAGTGTACATATTATTTTAGTTATTACTAGAAAGCATTGTTGGAAAAAGATCTGAAATAATTACCATACTGATATGAATGTTTTACTGATTGATTGATTTGATTATTTTTAATATTAGCAAAAAATACACGTCTCCTCCGCAATGATTGACTACCTGAACCCCAGTAATTCCACAAGAAAAGCCATGAATGGGGGAGTGTTTTATCTTAAATAGAAACTGACCCAAAAACAAAATTAGACACAATTCACAATCTTATTACCGAAAGAATATCCTCCAATGATCAAACAGAATTGTCCACATACATGTATCAGTATAAACATTTCATTTCTGGTCTTCTAGATTCTTCATTGATGGTCCCTTTGATTCAATGTATAAAAAGTTACATTGTATCTCAGATTTTTCCACCTTACCTGTATGTTCAAGGTACCTTTATTCACCCATCTTTAAAAGTTCAATGTCTCAGTTTGATGCAACAAAACTATATTTTGGGATGATCTAGACTCTAGATCAGTGGTTCTCAACCTTTTTTGCAAACGGCACAACTTGGAAAACATGAAAAAATAGCGGAACACCTACTGACCTAGCTAAATATATATGAAATATTTGAATTTTGCAAAAATAAAGTCATACATAGTATACACCGTAGACACAGACTAATAATAGACATATAGAATGACTCAAACTAAATAAAGTAAAACACAGCTATGAATGTCAGTAGACACCAGTAATTTCTAAATTGGGATCACACAATTTTTTGCATTTTCTTAGTGTGCCGTTAAAAATTTTGCGGCACACTTACATGTACGAAGATCTCGTGTGCCGTGGCACATTAGTTGATAATCACTGCTCTAGATGTTAGCTGGGATATGTATTGTTATCACAGTAGTAACTGTTATCTGAAATCAAATCATCCCACATGGATTCTAGTCACTAAAAAAAATATTTATTTCTATTACTAGGAAGCTTACATCTTTAATAATTTTTTTTATAAATGGAATGTAAATGTACACTGTATACTGGAATTTTCTAGACATGTACATTTCTTTGGTTTAGGTTAAAATAAATTGTTGAATTGGGTAGATCTGATGTTGTTTTGATTAGTAATGTAAGCTTACTATTAAATGTTTGTTTTGTAAGATTAAGCGGAAGTCGGTTTGTTTACTAATTTTAGTTTACTTTTTGGGTTTAACAATTCAAGGCAAAAATCAATTATTATATTTATCTCAACACTGGCTCTTTCCATTTTAGACCCCAAAATGTATAATGTAGACAGATAGATACATGTATTAATGTACATGTAATGACTTTGCAAATCAAATAAACACATCAAACCAACACATTTATATTTTTACCCAAGTCAAGGAAGTTACTTTTCAAAAAACTTATTTATGTACATCAGTTTATTACAGGTACTATATATCTTATTCTCTGCAACAAAAATATATCACAACTTGACATTGCTGGGTACTGACATTTTTAGTTTAGGCCTACTAACTAGCAGAACTGGAGATAATAATTTTAATTGTACATGTATGTACCTGACAAAATGTCTGGCACTACTGAAGTTATTGCTGTCACATTTGTATTTGCTCTGGACATATATTAAATATATCTATAGTAAACAATTGTGCCAGACCAAATGCCAGGTACCAGAGGAACAAGATTCCAGATGTTTAATAATGGTTATAATTGGTTGTATGATATATATTTTTTTTATTAATGTGTTTTATATTTACACTATTATCTTATAAAATTATTTTGTGCCAAATACAGGAATAATAATTTTATCACATTTATTATTATTATATACATGTAGTCGAATATAAAAGATAGCCATGCAAACCTTGGAAATACGCCCACACAGCAGCCTTCAAGAAATCTAATCTCTTTCATTTTCAAACACTAGGAAAAAATCGTTTAAAAAATTGTCACCTCTATCACATTCACAAGCCTTTCAGAAAAGTGGGCATAACTCATAAAAAGGACTAGAAATAATGAATATTGTTAGGGTGTGTCCTTTCATAACCCCAAAGTTTTTTGAAAAAGGGGCATAACTCTATGAAAGAAGAGTGCTGAATTTTGATTATCTAGAGGCAAATATCATCCTTCGATTGATTTTAAATTTATAGTGTTTATGTTCATGAGACAAAGAAGCCTATTGTGTTCATGCGATAATTACTGTCAGAGTTATTGCCCACGATCAATTTAACAAATCCTGTGGATGCTCTAGGGGCTACATGTACGGTAACAGCCAATCAAATTACTTCATGGGTTGTTGATTTTGATAAGTTTTTAGTATTTTGTGAATGCTCCCAATACCTACAAAAGAATATGTATGTGATGTGACAATCTTGGTGGACTGCGCAGACGACTTAGCAACTGTGGTTGTATATTTCATTGCCTGGCTATTAATAAGTAAAAACAAAAATGAAGTATTTCATAAAACTGTTTTATTTAACATTGATTCCTTTATGGATCAATAATCTTAAATACAGCCTTGCACAAGAGGTGACAAAGAGATAGATTGGAAATGTGATTATAATATATGTAAACCTGTGCTGCTGGAGCTTAAAATGGTTGCTTTTCATTTAATATATTGCACTTTCCATCTTTTATACCAAATAAACTTATTTATTTTTTAACCTTGTGTTAGTTTTTTTTTTTAGCGAAAATGAAATGTTAAGAGAAATGAATCATCAACCTTGAGTTGGCGTATTAGAGTATGAGCAGGAAGTTATATTTGAGACATCGTACTGAGTATTAGTTACAAAAAGCACCAGTTTCTGATATAGGGCCAATCTAATTAAAACACTGATCCTATTTCGTTTTGTTTTTTTATATTTCAAAATTTCATTTTACTTGTCTTTACTACACTAGGATCTGGAAGAGTTGTTATATTACTGGCGTTTTGGTTGAAGTGATGGATAAGCCAATGAAACGGTCTGTATAGCGACTTCTTGGCATGCCATGGTTGAATTTCGGAAAAAATGGCCGCCCCTTGTACGCAAATAGTGTAAACATCTGGTATATCAAGGTTGTGGACCTCCTAGGTCACAATTTTGATGAAACTTGAAATGCATGTTTATAACCCAAAGATCTTGGTACCTTTCGAAATTCGCGCATATCGAATCGTAACTTCCTGAATTATGGCCCTTGATGTTACGAAAAATCGCGTTTTGTTTGTGGTCCCTATACAGGTCACAATTTTTATCTGATTTAAAAAAAAAACACCTGTAAATATATCACAGTTATACACTAATGATGGTTGAGTTCGAATTTCAAGAGAATCAACTAAAACTGACGGACATAATGGCCGCCTCTTGTACGCAAATAGTGAAAAAATATGGTATATCAAGGTAGGGGATATTAAAACACAAATACCTTTGCAGGTTGTGATATGATAAATAGTCATGGACACTTGACATGCTTTGAGAGTATGTTCACAGATGAAGAACTTATCGCCCCAACAGACACGCAATAGCGCCATACATGTGGGAGGGGTTCATTGTCAAATCTGACACTTCAAGGAAGGGTCGATGAAAACTGCCGTGTGCTGGTTTATCTATCCATGTTAGCATTCCTATCGGTTCTTGCATAAGATTTACTGTTTAGCGTATCTTTGCTTTAGTGTGTTATGTTTAATTTGATTGAGAGACGTGTTCGTCGATGTCAACCGACAACACTGCAAGAATTGGCCGTGGCACTGCAAGAGGAGTGGGTCAGATTGCCCCAAATCGTGATTGGACGGTTGATTAGGAGCATGCCACAACGAATTGCTGAATGTCTGAGGATTGGTGGAGCAATTACTCATTATTAAGACAAAAATCAAAAACATCCATTTTCACTTTTGACAGTGTATCTCTTTGCAAGTGAAATGGGGCCGTCAGGTAAGTTGCCCATATGAACTGTTTATCTTCATGTGTAGGCAATTGGTCTGTTATTAACATACACTGGTTACCTCTAATACAAACAGTAGTGCATTTCCGCAGTTTTGTATTGTTTCTGAATATCTCTTACTTTTTTTTGAAGAGTATATATGTTTTTATCATAAAGATCTTGGTTCCTTTTGATAGTCACACATATCCGAACATAACTTCCTGGATTATGGCTCTGATTAGTCGAAAAATCGCATTTTTAGCTTGTGGATTCTCTAGAGGTCACAATTTTTTTTCTGATTTTAAAAACTGTTTAGATACATCACCATTCCACCATAATGAAGGTCGAATTCGAATTTCGGGAAAATCAAAATGGAACTGCCTGACAAAATGGCCGCTCTTTGTACGCAAATTGTGTAGTATGTAATACAAAGGTCATGGACCCTCTAGAGGTCACAATTTTTAACCGATTTTGATTAAACTTAAAATATATCTTTATATTCCAAAAATCGCAGTCCCTTTTGATATTTGCGCATTTCAGACCATAACTTTCTGGATTATGACCCCTGATTGTACAAAAAATAATTTTTATTTTTAGCTTGTTCTCTATCCATCTCTTGCAAAATTTGGGTGTATCCTCCCTGGCAGCCGCTTGTTTCATAGACTGAATTGAGAGAGCAGAAATCAAATCTTCTCAACAATGCCGAGCAGAAATCAAATCTTCGCAACAATGCCTTCTGTCAATAATAATACAAAATCAGCCAACAGCAAATTTTGAACAGATCTGGATGGTATTTCACAAGTATAAATATACGATAAGGACTGTAGCACAGGGAATTGGATTTCAAATCTGATTGGAAATAAAATAAACAGTATTTCATTTCTTTTTATATCACAAACATGCACTTATATAATAGTTATTGAATAAAATTAAATATCTGTATAATTTAAACTGCAGTTTAAAAAAATAAGGCACTTGACTTGTAATGTCACTTTGAGTATTAGTGTGAACTGTAGGTTAGATGGTTAGAAGATTATCAGATCTAGGACAACATTAAATATAATCAAAAGTACATATTTTCATGCCGACGGCCAGCCTAATTTTTCTCAATCATAATCTAAATTAGAAGTCAACATGAACTTGCCGTACAGCAATTTTCCAAATTGAATGAGGCAGAGAGAGATCAATGGGGTTTAATGTCCACTTAACACAAACTAGGTTGTTTTGAGACTGACATATGGACTATGGTATATCTTTATTTCAACAATGTGCTTGCTTTCAGGAGATCTTCACCAGCAGATGGAAAGCAGATAGACAGGTCTGCTTCTTATCATATAATTATAAGTCTGGGATAGGACTCAATGACACACTTATCAAAATGCATGTTACACCACAGCTAAAGATATCAATGGATATCGTATATGAATTTATTTATGTAATTTAACACCTAGATATAACAATATAGACAACTATATAGACAAACAGGCACAGTGTGTTCTGGTGGACTCTGCTATTTCTGATAATAACTTCCCAAGTTATTGCCCTTGCTCACTTTTTTAAATATTGTGAAGACACTAATAAAGTTATAATCTTGTAAGTTTTGTAAGTAAACCGATAGGAAACTGATAAGTTCATTAGGTTTTTTTAGTGAAAAAGACTTATCATTAAATATTATTAGTAGCAGTTGTGATTTATTGATTAACTTTCACTGTTTTGTTAACTAGATTAAAACACAACAAATATTATTATTGTATCTACCTTATTGACATTGAGGACTAAGTAATGGAGTCTGGAATAAATGATTAGATATAGAAAAGAAAGGTGATGATAATGATGATTTAGTAAAGGATATCATCATCCTCTGGTAACAGGTGCCAATAAATACTTCACCACAGCTATGATATCTAATACCATCATACCCAATGACTACCAGTATTATCAATTGGCAAACAAACTAATAGCTCGATCATCTGATTAGAGACAGTGCTATAATTTTGACTAATAACAATCTAGTTTTCTTCAATGATCTAATTTGAATCAGTTGTTTATTTAAAATTTTATTGGATAAATTGACAATTTCTAATCCAAACATGTTCATAAATGAAATATTTCCATGATAATTCTTGGTCTTCACAGGAGCTGAAAATTTTCTGTGTTATAGATATAACTATTATCATTCTTCACTTCAGTCAGTCACAATAACTGCCTTCCTTTATTTAATTTGCTCCCTCTTCTGGATTCCGCAAATCTTTTTTAGCAAAAATGTCTATCTTAAAATTATATTTGTAATGTGTTTAACCTGTTCTATTACATAGTCTAATATTGATGGACACCAACATTGCCTTTTAACCACCTCCCAAGACCCAAATTCCATCCATTAGTTAATCTACTTCCACAAACTTAGTTTTAACGATTCAATAATTTAGCTTCACACTGAGTGATGACGTCCAGAACTTATCCTAATACCTTTGTTTTCTCTTTCTATACACCCATATTGAAATGTGGTCGTATATTGCCGTCACCCCAGTCCATCGGTCCGGCATCCACAATTGTTAAAGTTAAAGATACATTATGGGAGATTGGATAAAGAGCTGATAGTTCTCATTATAATAGTTTAAAACTAAATAATGTAAAGGGAATTTGCTGAAAATTTCAGTCGAATTGATCCACTCTGAACCAAGAATTTAGCGATTGAATTTTCGGCCTAGCCCCAATCACCATTACTAAAGTCGGTACGATAAAAAAACATAGTCTTGATTATCCATTTCATGTTTAAATCATGAATGAAAGTTAAGCCGCAAATCGGATCCTAATCCAGTAAATATCGCAGTTGATTATCGAGAGTTGATTATGGTCTGGATAAGTTAATTAATGTCTAATTAATAATTTAGATAACATTTCAGGGCTAAAGAAAGACCTGAAATAGGCAGATTTAACTCTTGCAAAATGTATGTTTAATATCCAATTGCCTTAAATTTATGCACAGTGTTTAAGGTCATAAGACGAAGAAGCCTATTGATTTTCAACAATTTCCAATAATTAATGACAGAGTTATGGCCCTTGATCACTTTGAAAAATCTTGTGGTGGCTCTAGAGCCTAAAGTTAATATCCGATTGACTTTACATTTATACACAATGTTTACGGTAATGCGACGAAGAAGCCTAATTATTGTCAATTTCCGATAATTACTGCCAGAGTTATGACCCTTGATCACTACAGTCATGAGATGAAGAAGTCTATTGATTTTGATAATTACTGCCAGAGCTATAGCCCTTGATCACTTTGAAAACTCTTGTGGATGCTCTAAAGGCCAAAGTTAATATCCGATGACTTTATATCCTATTGATTTTCCACAATTTCCGACAATTACTGCCAGAGTTATGGCCCTTTATCACTTGAGAAATCTTTTGGACGCGTTAGAGGCTAAAGTTAATACAAACTTATACACAGTGTTTTCTGATTTCTGATAATTACTTAATGGGTTGTTCCTCGTAATCAGATTTTAGTGTGTTGTATATGTTTTCATTACTGACAAAAGAAAAAATATGTGACAACCCTTGTTGACAGCACAGACAACTTAGCTGCTGTGGGGGTATGTTTCATTGCCTGGCAACCCATCTTTTTAGTTTTAACATACTCCCTGCCAAACATGAAACCAAATTGTCCTGAATCAGACCCATGACGCTAGTTCCATGATTAATATGATACTTACAACAATTCGTAATGATCGTTTATCTTTGGTTAACTCATGAACTGTGCATTTACGTCCTTTATCCAGGGTAGTTGCTGGGGTTGGACTGTCTAATCGACCTTTTCTAGATGGACTCGGACTTCGTGATTTACCTACAATTAGAATAAAAACACAACATTTTAAACCAGCATGTTTAGATGTGACTCAAACCATTTTGTAGGCAGACTGAAAAGGTTGCTTGAGCCATAATTGTTGTAAATGGCTATAGAAACGGACAGCTACAGGTTTTTCAATTTCTTCTGATTAGAAGGTTAAATTAGAAATAGGTCTGTAGTTTTAAAAGATTTCAGGATTAAGCTTCACGTTTCTAAATAATCTCTATCGCATTAACAAGATTTTCAGAAAAAGGGCCATATATTACTACCATTTTTGTGTAGTAAATATTTATTAAGTTGCACCAAAATCAAAAGGGTCCATAAGCTATGTAAGTGATTTTCGTACAATCAGGTGAAATAATCTCTGATACAACCAGATATTATTATTTTTCGATTTATATAGCTAAAAAACATTTTTGAAATAAATGTTTTTAAGTTAGTCTTAAAGCTCTGGATGGAAGAGGACTCACGAAGGGTTTTGGGAAGATCATTTCAAGTATATTCAACAGAATGCTTATTATATTTCTGAATCCTCAGTATGCTACCATCACTTGAAGAATGAAGGTTGGATCACCGGGGAGTATAGAAATCAGAAGAGTTTTATTTTTGTTTTTTTTTTAAATATTTGGGTGCAGTGTCAGAATAAATTGATTTAAACGCATTCACAAGCACTTTAAATTGAACCCTTGCTTGAACTGGAAGCCAATGGAGTTTCTTTCTGTACATTATTTGATCAATTTTTCGTGTTCTAGTTATGAGACATGCCGCATTGTTTTGCACTATTTGTAGTGTATTTAAAGCTATTTCTGGTGCTCCTAGTAGAAGGCAATTTGCATAGTCCATATGGGATGTTATGTTACCAATACTCTAACACAGTGATGGGATTTCAAAATTTTTCTTGTCGGACATTTTTATCAAAAATAAAGGGACATAACTCTTATCGTTAATTAAGATGGCAGTTTTTAGACCACACACAAAAGTCACGTGTAAACAAAATATTCAAATTCGTCCGTAATATAAAAATAGGTGCACCTCGTTATTTTTCATATTTAATTCCCGTACGGTATTCAAATTTATGTCAGTAATATTCCTACAAAATTCGTAATACGATAGAATGAAAGCGTGCCGACTGCTGCCGATCTGTACTGTTTCAAATTCCTCCAAAATTACCGTATTTACGGGTCATAAGTCGCTACATTTTTCAGCAGAAGTCCGGCAAACGTCTTATACTCCGTTACGACTTATGTACAGAGGGTAAGAATATGATATCCCGAGGAATGACACCATCCGCTAAATAATCGCATTCTACTCTAGCATATTCGTCAACATATTCGTCAACATTGCCTAGATTACTTTTTTCTTTATTTAAAAACATAAACCCCATTCAAAATATGATCGTAAATACGAGAATATGCCATCAAAATATAATCTTTTCTTCGACATTAGAAGCGTGAATTTAGTCACGTATTCATTTCATAATTTCACGCGGAATCTGCTGAGGTTTCCCGAGTCACGAGTGCTGTAACTGTGTGCTAGAAATGTCTAATATTTTTCGGATATATGTGTGTGTGAAATAGCTTTATTTAACGCTCGCTTCCACCGAAGTGATATCACAGACAAATTATAATGACTGTCTATTGATCTGGGCGTTATATACTCTTACAATATGTGACTTCTATGACTAGTTTATACATATTGTTGGCTCACATCAATGCGATTAAAATGTCTGACAATGCAGAAACCACGACGTTAACACGAAGATTAAAATTATAATGGATTGATGAATAGTCCGACAAAGGGGAAACAATGGCTTCTGTTTAAGATTAGATTGATGAATTGTCCGACAAAGGATTAAGTCAGTCAATCAAGGCAGATTAAGTAGTTAATCAAGGTAGGTTTATAGACCATATAACACGATAAATACGTTGATCACTTAATTACCTAATCAATCCAGCGTATTATCGACGATAATCTGGTTGAGTGGTAGTTATACACTCAGTAAACTATATTAATTTCAGAATTTTGAATATTATTCACCATGTCTTGATTTCCGATTGGGCATATTCCCGGTCGGAAAATTTTGGGCGTTTGGAAAAAAGATTCGGACAAGTCCGGAATATATGGGCAAAATCCCATCACTGCTCTAACAACACTTTGGACGGCATCAGTATTGAAATTAGAGAGTATTCTCGGAATAGCTCTCATTTGAAGAAGCATTTTCCATATGATACAACTGATTTGGGGAACTGGGGACATAAATTCAGTGCATTAGTCACATAGTCAAGATTCTTAGCCTGCTTCTTGGGAGATATAGAGCAATCACCGATCTGAATGGAATCTGCTTTAAACAATTTACTGGATTGTGATTTTGATGATATGACAAGAAATTCGGATTGGTCATCGTTAAGGTTTAGCCTATTTCTGATCATCCATAAGTACTGAAAGTAGTCATATATTTAGGTGTTGTCAGCAAAGCCGTGGTTTTGTGCCATCACCCTCATATCTTCTTATGATGTGACTAATTGGAAGAATGTCTAGGAGAAAAAGTAGAGGTCCCGATCGGAGGTTGCAGTCACACAAAAATCAGCGTTTTTCATGTAGGCCTGCAGCCAAAATTTCTAGCTTGCTTACAAAATTTCGCTACATGGTCCTCCCAATTAAACAAACTATACATTTTTGGAAAACTTTTAACACCAGGAACACAAATCCAGAGAATTCCAAGCAAAAAATCTGCACTAACTCGATTTAGGGTCAGATGAAAATTGTGATAATTGTCAAGTAAATGCTATATTTATACTAATAATTGTGAAGTTGACATAAAATTAAATATTGGCGAAAACACCCGATGCCTTCATTCTATGCAATGAATATGCTGTTGGTTAAATTTTCATTCAAAGCAAAATGCAGAAAACACAATGGACAGGGAAACATACAGAATTTCGGAAATCCATTTATGGTAAAAGGAGTTATCTCCCTTTATGGAAAATATCAATAATTATTGATAACATTAACAGGATTTAACTACAGATAAGGGCCTATATAAGTTCAACCTTTTTTTCAGGTAGGATTTGAGGCTAAAGGTCTAACAAATATTAACTAGTGCTGGATATTGTCACTGCAGTCGTTACAACACATATTGCGACTCGTGTGTTACTATATGACTTGTATCACGATTTAAAACTAGGTCAATATTTACCAACCAAGAAAACAACAGGATAAGTGAATAATTGATATTTTTAATTGATGTTGAATAAAAGTATTTTATACAACAATATTGATGCAGATCAAAATAAGGACCTCAACAATTTAAGAGTGTTTGTGTACCTATGGATAATGTGTAACATGGATAATCATAAGTAACAGGTTACTTACTGAAGCGATAAAAAAAAAAAACAAAAAAGAATTGCGATACATCCTCAGTGCATCTCAAATTTCAATGAAAAGGAAACTCACCTCCTATTCTTATACATTCATCTTTATGTCGAATATTCCAAGCCTTAATTTTACAGGCCTTACTACAATAGAATACCTCTTTACATCGTGTACATGCTGACAGTCTGACACCCACAGATCTACCACACTCATAACAGTATTTTAATAATGGTTTTCTGCAAAATAAAATAAAATCAAACATGTATATAGCATCCTACTGAGTTATACTAACTTAATGTAATAATGCAAATTTAAGAGCCCCATTTAAAGTCTCAAAAGGCATAATAAAACGACAATTAACCAACTTATTCATTACAGTGTCAACTAGTGTGTCAGACACCGATATCCAAGAGAGTGAATATTACTGTAACTTCATATTATTTAGAACTTCAACCTAAATACAAAAAAATTGTAACTTATAAATTAACATTACGTAGAATTACACCTCAAAGATATGTAGAACTACAACTTAATGCTATGTAGAACTACAACATAATGTTATGTATAATTACAAAATAACATTATGTAAAACTAAAATTTAACATTATGTAAAACTACAATTTAACATTATGTAAAACTACAATTTAACATTATGTAAAACTAAAATTTAACATTGTTGAACCACACCTTAATATTATGTCGAACCACATGATGTTTAACTACAACTTCGTGATAAATATAACTACAATTACGTCACATAGAACTACAATTACATCACACAGAACTACAATTATGTCACATAGAACTAAAACTACTGTATAATTTAAGTGGAACTACAACTTAACATTATATATAACTACAGCTATCATTATGTTTACTACAATTTAACATTATGTAAAACTACAATTTAACATTGTTGAACCACACCTTAATATTATGTCGAACCACATGATGTTTAACTACAACTTTGTGATAAATATAACTACAATTACGTCACATAGAACTACAATTACATCACACAGAACTACAATTATGTCACATAGAACTAAAACTACTGTATAATTTAAGTGGAACTACAACTTAACATTATATATAACTACAGCTATCATTATGTTTACAACTTCTATTTAGCTGTATGCCTGTGTATAAGAAACTAATAGCTACACTATAAAGTACTAGACTATCATTCAAACCTTATTGGTGATCTGTTCCTTCTTTTTCTAGACACATAAAGGAAATTACAAATTTATATTAAAAACAATTATTGACAAGCTAACATATTGTAACACATGAATGGGGTTTAATGTCTATTCAACACGATACTTCAGTCATTTTGAAACAAATTATGGTCATTTTTATTTCTATGCTTACGTCTGCATTGTGAGGTTGGAGAATTATACTTGGACAGCACCATTTTCACTACTCTTATATGATTTCTAATCGCAAAGGGTTCTTTTATGTTCACACCAATGCATACACAAGTGAACCCTCTTTTTTTCGTGCAATCTCAACCCATGACTTGCAAAGATAACAGGCTTTAAAGCTGGACTTATGTCAACTTTTCACATGGGAGCAAATTAACAAATACTGCTTTTAACAATTAGTTGTAAGTGTGCTTGTGTTGGTCAAATCGGCAACTGAGAGCAACTGAATTTGGAGTGCTTATCTTGATTTGCAGCTGATAGCGATTACGCTTGTGACTGTTATTTTATTTATCATGGGATCAACAAAATGCTTTACCTTTCAAAAGAAGCAGAAATGAAATATGGTTTAACGTCCTACTGATCTGCTTCGACTGAGCTAATGAAGACTGGCAAACGCCATACAGTGTGCCAACATTGGGATCGAACCCGAAACCTCCAGGCTAGCGAGCCAGCATCTTACTAACTGAGCCACCGTGGCTTCTTCAAAAGAAGTGAGTATTGGCCTATTACATTATTGTCGAGAATACCAACACTTGAAAAGTCAATGCCTTTTGATAAGTGATTAAGCCAACAATGTAATTCAATTGTAAAACACCTTTTTATAAATGATGTTTAAACATCACAAACAATTCTTATCACATTTCTCTTTCAAGATCTATCGAATAAACAAAGACAGTCATTTATTCATGAATATTACTAACATTAAATTCTGGTATGGTATGTTAATTAAATATGGAAAATATTGAGCAGGTGTACGATATGCTAATAAATTATCAAAAACTGTTTTCGTTGAAGTCTGGTTGTATTTGAAGGGAATGGGATGTGGTGTGAGCAGAGATTGTGACATAATTAAAAGTTTAGATTGACTGGTCGAGATAGTATCGCATTCAGTTGGCACATGCTTTGTCACTAAGAATTCTTGTGTTATATCGACTGACACCATTAGAGTGATCATGTGAATTATGTTAGAATAAGTATACGTACAATCGTCCCTTCCACATGAATGAAATGAAATGAAATGGGGTTTATCGTCCTACTGTTCTGCTCCTATACTGGGCTAATGAAGACGGGCATACGCCCATACAGTGTGCTATGAGGGAAATTTTGCCCGGGCAGCGGCACTACCGCCTACTCTTATATTGAATTCCAACTGCCAAGGGATCTTTTACGTGCATTCCAATGTATACACGGGCCTCGGTTTTTCGTACCATTCGAAGGACTAAACAGCTGTCCTTGTAAGGCCTTCCGTCCTGCACCAATGACAAAGGGGGACCACGCCGGAAAATCTGGATGAACTTTCTTGGCCAATGCAGGGATCGAACACCCGACCTCCAGGCTAGCGAGCCAGCGTCTTACCCACTTAGCCACATGATCCCCTTCCACATTAATGAACATCCTGAACCCCAAAATATATTGTACCTGATAACTTGTGGTACTCCATCAGATATTATCCCAGTGGGTCCATCTGTTGCTGTGCTATTATCAAACTTCACCTGACCTCCTTTACCTTTGCCTCTCGACCCTGGAGGTAAGGGTGCCCCTGCCCCTGTATAAACAAATCCAGGACTAGGGCCAGCACCTGCATAATTATTTAAATCATATGATTAAAAATTTTTTAAAACTGCTCCCACTATTAACCAGCAGCTGGCATGCAAGATATGCCCACATTTTGGAAAAGATGGACAGAGAACAAGCTATAAAAAAGCGATTTTAAGTTTCACAAAAATTGGATAACAAGTGGTTGCAAGCAAGATACAGAGAACAGGATAAAAAAAAACCTGATTTTTTGTAAAATCGGGGGCCATAATCCTGGAAGTTACCGTCCAATACATGTCAATATCGAAAGGAACGAACATTTGGGATATAAACCTATATTTCAAGTTTCAAAAATTGTGACTTGTGGAGTGTCAACAAATAAAATGTGAACAGACAGGGACGACGACAATATACATCCACATGCAAATGTGGGCGAATAAAAATTGACAATTTTATTACTATTATTAGTATATATATTGATTGTCAAGTACTATTGATTGCTATGGTAATAAACAAAGTCTTGATTATGCATTTCAACATTAAATTATTAAAGATACATTATTGGAGATTAGATAAAGAGCTGGCAGTTCTCACTATAATAGTTAAAAAATAGATAATGTAAAGGGTATTTGCTGAATATTTCAATCAAATTAATCCACTCTGAATCAAGATTTTAGCGATTGAATTTTCGGCCTAGCCTCGATCATCATTACTAAAGTCGGTACGATAAAAAACAGTCTCGATTATCCATTTTATGATTAAATCATGATTGAAATTTAGCAGCAAAAGGGATCCTAATCCAGTAAATATCGCAGGCTAGCGTTGACATTGAGAGATGATTATGGTCTGGATAAGTTAATTAATGTCTAATTAATAGTTTATATACTAAACAGCAAAAAAAGCGTCAGTACGATTGCAAAATAAGAGAGGCACTTAAATCAAATCATTCTAGAAAACGACTTATTAAATGGATCAAAGCAATTTTTTGTGAACAGTATGCTGACACATTAGTGATTAATTCATCACAATTCCAAGACTTTACAAGAAGGTTTAGAGTCTGTACACAGTCTATACATCAGTATCAGGTGTGTCCACCGCGAGTGTCAATAAAAGCAGCACAGCGTCTGTACATATAGTGGACCTGACGATTGATTAACGCTATTGGCACCTGGAACCACACTGTCAGAAAAACCTAACGCAATCCATCGGCTTAGTACATAACATTTCAGGCCTAAAGAAATACCTGCAATAGGCAGATTTAGCTCTTGCATAATGTATGTTTAAATGACATTAGTGTTCTGATCCATTCAATATCTAAGCGGTCCTATGTTCTAGAGTTAATTAGGGGCTTGCTATGTGAATAGATGTTTAAATAATAATTTATATAATATTTGAAGACCCTAAAAAGACCTCAAAGAGGTGGATTTAGTTATTGCTTCTTTAAATTTATTAATTCTACAATACATGTATTTTATGTACAACAAGACTTAATTTTCTGTAATTTATAATATTAGATTTAGTTCATTTTGTTGATTTTAATATAACTTGCCTTTTTGTAATAAGATTTGATTTTGTTAATTTTACTAAGTTTTGATTATGTTTCAAAATTTCAAAATGACTTACTTTTCCTCCCTCCTTTTAATTGCTCCTCCATTTTCTGTTTTTCTCGTTCAGTAGCTTTAATACGCATAATGTCGCCAACATGCCCTAAAAGTTTACGTCGTGCATTGTATGTTTCACGTTCCGCATGTGTTAGTGCATGATAAGGCATGTGTGCAATCCTGCGATCCTATAGAAAGTGCAAAAAAATAAACATGCAACAATAAAAATATTCAAAATTTATCAAAAGACTCCAAATTTACAGGATTGGGGGATAAAAATAATTTTTGAATGAAATTGGCTATTTTATCCAAATATAAAAATAATCATGAATTAAATTTGCAGTATTCTCAATAGGCCTGCTTTTCTTATTGAAAACTAGCATTTAAATGTCTTCATTCTTTACCACTGGAAATGAACCAAAGCATGATTGAATGAATAAATGAATGAAATTTAATGAATAAAGAAATTAAAGAATGAAGATAGTAATGAAAGAAAGAAGAAAGAATGAAAGGAAGAATTAATGAAATAAAGAAAATGAAATAAAAGAATGAAATAATAAATGAATGAAATAAAAGAATGAATTAAAGATAATCAAATAATAAAATTGCAGGGGTCTTTATCAATGGGAGGAAACCAGAAGACCCGGAGAAAACCCACGAGTTAGGGAAGGTGATCCTACACCTTACCACATACAAGCAGGGAATCGAAACAACCCCATTTGGCCACCCAACCCCCAAAACAAGAATGAACCAAAGTGAAAGGTAGAATCAAACACAGACACTTAAAGGGATTAAAACAAGCCAACAGCGAGACTGATATCCCCTGCCGTAATCCCAAAATAAATAGATGACACATTAATTAATAGCACATTTATTTTTTTTAAAAGTATCAAGCAATCAAACTGGTTATCAACTATACACTAAGTTCCATCACTCTCTATCAGATAGAATCATAGTTATCTTGTCCTAAAACATCGACCAATGAAATTGCTTAGCTTTAGCTCGAAATGTTAATCATTGAACTCAGTCAAGACATTACCCAATGAACATCTACATCAAGTTTAAACATTCTACCCCAATTAAAAGCAAATTGCTTATCACCCCTTAACATAAGCAGAAAAATCTCATCATCCAACTTAGTCAAGGTAATGATATAATGAATCTATACTCGGAGTTTCATCACTCTCACTTAATTAAAACCAAAGTTATCATGCCCCAAAGCATCAACCAATCAGATTGCTTATCTCTGCTTACCGTAAGCAGGCAATGTTTATCATCGAACTAGATCAAGGCATTCACCTAATGAACGCCTACACCAACTTTAACATTCTACCTCAATTAGAAAGCGAGTTATTGTGTTCCAAAGTCTCAACCAATCAAAATGCTTATCGCTCTGCTTACCCTGAGCAGAAAATGCTCATGATCAATCTTAGTCAAGGTATTGATGTGATAAAACTATACACCATGTGTCCTCACTCTCACTTAATTAGAACTAAAGCTATTGTGTCCCAAAGCATCAACCAATCAATTGCTTATCTCTGCTTACCCTAAGCAGAAAATTTTCATCTTCGAACTCCATCAAGGCATTCACCTAATAAACATTCACCTACACCAAGTGTGAACATTCTAGCTCAATTAGAATGAGGGTTAGTCAAGGTATTGATGTAATGAAACTAACTATACACCAAGTTTCATCACTCACACTTAATTAGAACTAAAATTATCATGTCCCAAAGCATCAACCAATCAAATTGCTCCTGCTTACCCTAAGCAGAAAATGCTCATCTTCGAACTCCATCAAGGCATTGACCTACACCAAGTAGCTCAATTAGAAGGAGAGTTATTGTGTCCCCAAAAAGTATGTGTGACGGACAGACAGACTCATTTTAATAGCCCCATGCTTTCTTTGAAAGGCCGGGAACAATAAAATTTCTTACTACTGTTTGACTATATATTATTACAGTATTAACAAGGTTTATCACCCACCATTTTGCTTTGACTTGTTGACGACATTTTGTCTGCTATCTTCTCACAATACTCACTAGTTCTAGCACTTCCAATCATCTTTATTGCCAACGAGATTTCATTTGATCCTTATACAGCTTCCAATGTTATTAAATTTATCATTTTACAGCGCTATTAATTACAAATCAACCCTGAAGCATTATCACTTGGCCATTATCAACATCATTGGACCGGAATGCAAAATGAGGTCAAAGGAATTCCCTTTTGTTTTTGTAAGTAACAGTCTGTTTCACCCAGTCCCTTCATTAACCTATCCGTTATGCGAAATTTGCCTAGGGACTTGATGATCTAGACTGCACCAAGACACAACCACACGTGTTTGTCGGGTGAAAATGAAAAATGCCCTGGTATTAATTAAAGCTTTTGAAGTTAAAAAAAACTGGCCACAATTTTGTTTTAACAGGACATTGTGTTGTTGCTATGTCTGTTTTATATAAAGCAGAGTGACTACACTAGAGTGGCACTATTTTAAAATTTTTAAATTCATTAGTCAATTAAGAAAAATAATAGTTTCTGAAAAATTGAAGACACAAATAATGATCGATGCCCGAAAAATCTATTATAGCAGATATCGGGTGAAACCTGAGACGTCCGGTTTCTGGCATTGCATCATAAACAAAAGAATGGATAGTATGGGATCAGTATTCAGAAATCAACCAGCAGCTGCCAGGCAGGATACGCCCACATTTTTCAAGAGATGGATAGAGAACAAGCTAAACAAAAAGCGATTTTTCGTAACATCAAGGGCCATAATCCAAGAAGGTACGATCAGATATGTGTGAATATCTACAGGAACCAAGATCTTTGGGTTACACTATTTGCGTAGAGGGGCGGCCATTTTTTCTGGCAGTTTATCCGATTTTCACGAAATTCTAACTCAACCAACATTACAGTGTACCGGTGATATATTTGAACGTTTTTGTAAATCAGATTATAATTGTGATCTCTAGAGGGACCACAAGCTAAAGTAACAACCGGATTTTCCGTACAATCAGGGGCCATAATTCAGGAAGTTCCGATCCAATATGCGCAAATATCGACAGCAACCAACATCTTTGGGTTATAAACATGCATTTCAAGTTTTATCAAAATCGGATCAAAACTGTAAGCTCTAGAGGGTCCACAACCTTGATATACCAGATGTTTATACTATTAGCGTAGATGTGCGGCCATTTTGTTTGGCAGTTTTGGTCCAATTTTCATGAAATTCTAACAAAATCAACGATATGGTCTAATGGTGACATTTTCGAAAGATTTTTTAAATCGGATAATAATTGTGATCTCTTGAGGGACCACAAGCTAAAAACACGATTTTCCATACAATCAGGGGATGTAATTCAGGAAGTTATGATCTGATATGCGGGAATATCGAAAGCAACCAAGATCTTTGGGTGTTATAAACATGCATTTAAAGTTTCATCAAAATCAAGTCAGAATTTTGACCTCTAGAGAGTCCACAACAGCATATTTTTACACGATTAACGTACAAGGGGCGGCCCTTTTGTACGACAATTTTGGTCCAATTTTCACGAAATTCAAACTCAACCATCATTAGGGTGTAATGTTGATATATTCAAACGTTTTTTTTAAATTGGATAAAAATTGTCAACTCTAGAGGGACCACAAGCTTAAAATGCAATTTTTCATACGATCAAGGGCCATAATTGAGGAAGTTACGATCTGATATGCACGAATATCGAAAGGAACCAAGACCTTTGTGATATAAGCATAAATTTAAGGTTGCATCAAAATCAAAAAAGAATTGTGGCATCAAAAGGGTCTACAACCTTAATATACCACATATTTACACCATTTGCGTTATACGAGGGGCGGCCATTTTGTCCGTCAGTTTTGGTCCGATTTTCACGAATTTTGAACTCAACCATCATTACGATGTAACGGTAATCAGATCATAACACGATTTTTCGTACAGTCAAGGGCCATAATTCAGGAAGTTAAGATCCGATATGCGCGAATTTCGAAAGGAACCAAGATCTTTGGGTTATAAACATGCATTTCAAGTTTCATCAAAATCGGATCAAAATTGTGACCTCTAGAGTGTCCACAAACTAAAAACGTGATTTTTCGTACAATCAGGGGCCATAATCCATGAAGTTACAGTCCAATACATGTGAATATCAAAAGGGACCGAGATCTTAGGAAGATAAACCTATATTTCAAGTTTCATTGAAATCTGATAAAAATTGTGACCTGTAGAGTGTCCACAAACAAATGTGGGCGTATAAAAAGGTGATTTTCATGTTTTAAGAAATAATATGGGCAATGGTGGGGAGGAGGAGTGGGACTTTATTTCGGGCACTTCATTTTGCTGACTAAAAGGCAAAATATTTTCCCCTCAAAAAATATTATATTAATTTTTTACCACTTTACCTGTCTGCCCGAGAGACCAATTCAATTTTCCTAAGTATGTTACATATACTAATGAGAGTATTCAGCTGTCATTCTGAGATTCTTAATTCACGGTCAGCTATGAATGGTAATTTTAGTTTCAATAACACGTCTCGACCAATCAAAAATAAGGGCTTCCCCAGAGCAACGTCACTGATCTCATTTTATGCAACTTCTTGTCCAACGAAGTTGATAGTGGCCAAGGGATAACGCTTCAGGGTTGATTTGTAATTAATAACACTGTAAAATGATAAATTTAATCAAATTGGAAGTTGTATAAGGATCAAATGAAATCTAGTTGACAATAAAGATGATGGAAAGTGCTAGAACTAGTGAGTATTGTGAGATAATAGCAGACCAAATGTCATCAACAAGTCAAAACAAAATAGCGGGTGATAAACCTTGTTAATACTGTAATATATAGTCAAACAGTAGTAAGGAGTGCCTGTGGAATCAAATAATGAAAGAAATATAGAAAAAAAGAGAAAGACAGATTTAATATCACAGATCAGCACCAAATTAGAAGTGGATAAATGAATGCAATAGAGCTGAAGACTGAACCTCTTTGATTTAGGTCAAAATAAAGCATTGAATTGGGCTGCTTGATGTTGTAATGATGGGATAAGGTTTAGGCTGACCTTAAAAATATCTTTGTTTCACCAAACCCGACCCACAATCGAGGAGAAGGGTCGGTAGGTCGTTTTTTTTTCAGATTTTTTTTTTAAAGTTAGAGAAATCAATACAGAAAACTTATTAGCTGCATACTACAGATTCATTAATTTTGTTTAATGAATTTGGGTTCTGACGTAAAAAGTAACGAACTGAAAGTCTTTTTTATTAAACTTAAGAGCTAATTTGACAGCTTAATAATTTTCCGGGTGGAAACATTCGTTTTCTTTATTCAATTGGCAAAAAAATCAATGACATCGGGAATTTTTCGTGATGCCCGACTCGCACACGATTTGCCACGAGCTTGAAGTGTGAAACTCCTTCAACACGTTTTTAACGATAGTGTGGGTTGTGCCTTCATTTTTCTCGAAAACGGATATTGAAAATATCGTGGTTATGTTTAAAACTACGCACCACAGACATAGAAGCAGAATCATTTCGTGGGAATGGACGTGTATTCGTCTGCAACCATTTTGTTGAGAAGCGACACCTATGACGCTTTCGTCTTGATCAACCAGTTTCAATAATGAATCAAACCGTAGCCATAGTAAAGGGAAATAACTCTTGTGATATATTTCAGGTTGACGCACAAAATAAAATAAAAAGATTGTGGAAAAGTGCAATAAAATAATTTAAGTCGGGGGTGGTTTTAGTTAGTCGGTCGCGTTAGGCGAAACAAAGATATTTTTAAGGTCAGCCTTATATAAAACTTTTGTTTTGAAAGAGATCCCTTTTTAGTTTAAATTGAGGTTTACTGTATGAAAAGTGAAATAGAAAGTTGGTTATACCTCTAACACCAGTTTTATCCTGCAATCTATTATCCAAAAACAGAACAATGGTCAACCATTGACACAAGGTTTGCAGATTGATGACTATCATACTACCCTCCACACTAATTTCATACAACTTATGCAAATTTATTGAGGAGACGATAATCCCTTGTCTTAAATTTGTTTGGAGGTAATGTTAGGTTTCGACACCTAAATAAATTATGTGTAATATATTTGTAGAATATGTGACTGATAAAAAGTTATAAATGTGTTTATATAAAACTGAATTTATAGATTCATGCCAATTGCATTTCAACAATACATGCTGGGCTGTATATTTGTAATAAAATTTAGTAATATAAAAGAATCATGCAATCAGCTGGAATTACATGCAGAATTCAATAGAAAAATGTTCTTGTCTTGTGAATACCAGTGATTAAATTGATTGTAGAAATAAAACTGATTGTTATATTACCTGATTAAACATATAGTAAGCATAATCTACAGCAGTTCCTGACAATCTCTTTGGACCAATCAAAATAGGTGATAAAATATTTGCTCCCGATTTGACTAATTTATCAACCTGAAACCAAATATAAAATATCACAATTTGATATAGTAACATCACAATTTGATATGGCAGCATCACAATTTGGTACGGTAGTATCACAATTTGGTATGGTAGTATCACAATTTGATATGGCAGCATCACAATTTGGTATTGTAGTATCACAATTTGGTATGGTAGTACCACACTTTGGTATGGTATACATAGCATCTCCATTAACCACAGTTTTTAAATATTTGTGTCCTAAGTAAACTATACATACCAGTTGTATCCTCGCTTGTATAGCTCTACGATGTTCATATTCTGTTGATGTAGCCACACAGAGGGCGCTACCAACACCATGCGTTAATGGGAGACTAGGATCAGCACCATATGTTAACAGTTCATCTATGGCCTATTGAACAAAAACATGGTTTTATTAACAATATACTTGGTACTGATGAGTCTGAAATATCTCAAGGTCACCCAATTTTTCAATATCCCTTTGTGAAATTCATGTTTTTGTGAATAATCAAGGTCCCAAATATAATCATAGTTAAACTTACCATATCATTTCCGCTAGCTATAGCCAGGGCTAATGGTGAAGCACCATTACACAGGAGATTCGCATTTGCTTTATATTCTAATAATAGATGTACAACTTTACATGCATGCTGAAATATATACATACATAAATATATATAAAACTATTCTAACATTAACACTACCAGTACTTCTACTTAAGTGTCACTGCTCTTTAATTTCACTTTCATTCTGCACTAGGATTTAAAACACAGGAAGAGAAAAATTGAGGTTTAATTTCCACTGAACACAAACTAGGTCATTTTGGAACTAATATGGTTCAATTTAATTTCACTAATTCGCTTGATCGTAGGGGGACATTTGCAGTGTGAGGAAAGTAAAGGATCCAGAGAAAACCCACGAGGTTGGACAAGGCTCCTAACCTACTCCTTGTTACAAAAAAGTGTGGGGTAGAAACTACGCTATGAGAACCTAGAGAAGACTTTCAAAATTAGGCACCTGCAATTGTATCGAAACTCACAACTTTCATACACTCATAGTGATCCACCACGTCCCACCCAGGTTCATAAAGGGAACTGTATCATAAATTCAGTTTCCATTCTTGACTGTATGTAAACCAAAGAAATAAACCAATCAGATTGGTATTCTTGCCGTAGGTATGAGGGTTGACAACTAACCTTGTAATTATCATCCCTAGCACACGCAATCTGTAACGAAGTTCTCCCTCCTAGAATTGATTTACTTTCTTTGGATAAAAGATCTCGTGACCATTCTTCTTCCAAATCTTTCTGAATAAATGAATCATCTTCCTCTGCTCGCACATCTGGGTCAGCCATCGCTTCCAACAATAGTTCTGTTATTTCTACACCTTCATCGCCTGGTATAGCAACTGCTATATGTAAGGGAGCTAATCCACCCTTCTACAAAACAGATTATTAATATTTTTAGTAGGCCTCTATATTTAAAGACATCCATAAGATTAATAAGAATTGATAGGTTTCTCTAAACAGCAAACAGATAAATATTCTAAATAAAATTTTATAGAGAAATAAATATTTAATTTTAAAATTATCTATTATCAATTAAATCTCTTCAATACCTGCTGTGGTAGACGACTATTTGTAGCAGCACCTTTCTGTAACAATATCTTTACCATGTTCGTATCAGCAGCCTTTATTGCAAAAAATAAAACAGGCATGGGAACTCCAGATGCATTGGGATCAGCTCCACGTCGTAACAACAGATCTAATGTATGTTTCATACTGCCTCGACTAAAAACATAAAATTTTATATTCACAATAAAAAAACATATCGTGCCCAAAATCTTTCAGTTTCTTTTCATTTACATAAATGACAACAACCAGGTCATTTTGGGATGAACATATCGAATATTTTTATTTATTGCACGGAAAAAAACAATGAGGTTAGGCAACACTATTTGTCACTTAAAAAACACAGGATCAAACCCATGATCTTCAGGACACAAAGTAGAAAAAAGCATACGATTCATTCTACACTTACTGTGTAAATAGTAAAAGAGTACATGATGAAAAAGTGTTGCATGGATGAACAGTTTTTTGTTGGTTGCAGTGGAAGATATGTGTTTTCCACTAGTAATTAACTGGTGACATACACTTTTAAGTCTAGAAGATGACTAAAATGCATTTCTGACATCAACTTGATAATGTATGGTATGACATTGCAACATGAGTAGGTGCATATTTCATGTGAAATTGAGTTTCATACAGCAAACTATCTTGATTCACGATTTTTGTGAGTTTACTTACAGAGATATCTGAATGGCCAATAATCTAGCCTTTCCTTCCCCGCCACTATCTCGTGATCTTTGACTGCTCACAACACGTTCATTTGTACTGAGCGTTGTAGCACAACGTTCCACTAAGTTGGGCGTTACTTCAATATGATAATTATGTACACTGATATTTGACTCAAAATCTTCGGCAAAGTCTTCATTCATTTCATTTTCAAAAACAGTCTCTTCTTCACTTCCAAATAATGAATCCCGATCTTCATCTTTCATCTCCCTATTGCCATGCTTTCCTGGTGAAACGGCAATCTTATTTTCACCTTTCGTTTCCTGATCAATAATCGTCACATGACCTTTCTCTACAGGGAGATAATTCTCTATACTGCTATAATGTTGGAGACCACTATCATTACTGACAGCGCCACCTATTGGAGGCAAGATTAGACGATCTCTATCATCAGATAAACAAAGATCCTCTGATTCACTTTTCTGTGATGTCGACCTTCGACCTGAACTCAACAAACTTATATGGCTCATTCGTCTTTCGAAATTATCTGCCCTTTTCCGTTTAGATAAAATACTTTTCGGTTGAGAAACAGGTTTGCCAAGATCTAGCGCCAGATCTGGCGGCGGCTTCTCCAAGTAACGTTCTGCGATGTTGTAAAGAAAACTCTCAACTGGATAATAGAAAATAATCCCAGCAGATAAAGCCGAGCATCCTTCGTCACTAAGTTTATTTATATCAGCTCCGTAGTTTAGTAAAATATTGATGACATCTATGTGCCAACCAACCTGTCAAAACATAAAATTACACTATTACAAAAAGGTTACCATTTCAGTCACAGAGCATACAAGTTTTTAAACACCTTAGTGATGGTCCGACATGGCTACTATCGGTTTTACCGATATCAGATATATCGGCTGATACAGATGGATATAAAAGTATTACACATCAAAATGCCCCGAATGTCATGATAATCGATGTAGCTACATGTTAGTCCGGAAACGCCTGATACTTTTTTACCTCCTGAATCAAACCTTGCGCAATGTGAACTTAAATTATTTGCTGTATGATTAATTAATAAAATCGAGATTATCAGCTTATAACGATTTAATTACCTAAATTGATCGGCACATGTATGTCTATAATACATGTCACCAGCAGTTGCCAGCCAAGATACGCCCACATTTTTCAAGAGATGGATAGAGGACGAGCTAAAAAAAAAAAACAGTGGCTGCCAGGCAGGATACGCCCACATTTTGCAATAGATGGTTAGAGAACAAGCTAAAAACAAGCGCGATTTTTTGTACAATCAGGGGCAATAATCAAAAAAAAGTTATGGCTTGAAATGTGCAAATATCAAAAGGGACTGAGATCTTTGGGATATAAAGATATATTTTAAGATACATCAAAATTGGATAAAAATTGTGACCTCTAGAGAGTCCACAACCTACGTATTACACACTTCTACACAATTTGCGTACAAAGAGCGGCCATTTTGTCGGGCAGATTCATTTCGATTTTCCCGAAATTCGAATTTAGCCTTCATTATGGTTACGGTCCGATATGCGCGAATATCAAAAGGAACCTGATTTTTCGTACAAACAGGGGCCATAATTCATGATGTTGCGATCTGATACATGCCAATATCGAAAGCAGCCGAGATCTTTCAAAGATATTTGTTTGGACAGACAGACGGACGGACAGGGGCGACGATAATATACGTCCACATGAAAATGTGGCATATAAAAACGCATGTCTACCCGAACTCTCAAACAATGTATGAATAAGGATTAAAAAACAACTTAGACCATTTATTCTTTCCTGAGATTCTTGTATTAGGCTATGTCTAGATAGCCACGCGGACAGCAACTAAAATAAAGGTACCGAGTGCCAAGCCAAATAATGATTTGTTTACAATTATATTTCAAAGGTATCCTTTTGAACAGAAATCGGTGACTCCATTATCGGAAAAATGGCAGGGTCCGATTGGCCACTTATCGGCCAATTACCAATGTTGAACTGAATTATCAGACCATCACTATTACACCTATATTTGGTCACATTGGAAGTAATTGTCATCAGGTATACATATATTGCTAGAAGTGGGATTGTTCAGCTAGTCACATCAATTTTACAGAGTTATTGCTTCAGCCACAAAGACCAGCGGCTGCCAGGCAGGATACGCCCACATTTTGCAAGAGATGGATAGAAAACAAACTAAACAAAATGCGATTTTTCGAAAAATCAAGGGCCATAATTCAGGAAGTTACGATCAGATATGCACGAATATCAACAGGAACCAAGATCTTTGGGTTATGAAGATATATTTCAAGTTTCATCAATATCGGATGAAAATTGTGACTTCTAGAGGGTCCACAACCTTGATACACCATATATTTACACTATTTGCATACGAAGGGTGGCCATTTTGTCCGCCAGTTTTGGTCTGATTTTCACGCATTTCAACCTCAACCGTCATTAGAGTGGAACGGTGATATACTAAAACGTTTTTTTAAATCGGATAAAAATTTTGACCTCTAGAGGGACCACAAGCTAAAAACGTGATTTTTTGTACAATCAAGGACCATAATTCAGGAAGTGACGATCTGAAATGCGCAAATATCAAAAGGAACCAAGATCTGTGGGTTATAAACATGCATTTCAAGTTTCATCAAAATCGGATCAAAATTGTAACCTTTAGAGGGTCCACAACCTTGATATAACAGATGTTTACACAATTTGCGTACGAGGGATGGCCATTTTGTCGGACAGTTTTGGTAGGATTTTCATGAAATTTAAACTCAACCAACATTACATTGTGACGGTGATATACTCAAATTCTTTTAAATCAGATAGTAATTGTGACCTCTAGAGGGACAACAAGATAAAAATGTGATTTTTCGTACAATCAAGGGTCATAATTCAGGAAGTTACGATCTGATATGCGCAAATATTGAAAGGAACTAAGATCTTTGGGTTATAAACATGCATGTCAAGTTTCATCAAAATCGGATAAGAATTGTGACCTGTAGAGTGTCCACAAACAATTGTGGACTGACGGACGTCCGGACGGACAGGGACGAGGACAATATACGTCCACATGAAAATGTGATATAAAATAAAATAATAGAATACAATATCAAAAAACCATCAGTTATCCAACTTATCTGAATATCAAATGCATCATTTTGACTTAGTCAAAATTGATCCCATCAAACCTTTTGTATTTGGTTTGTGTTTCATGTTTCTATTGATTGGAAGTTTCACATGAAAATGTGGGCGTATAAAAATGTAAATATTCTACAGGTCATAGTTTTTTAGATTTTTTTCAAACCTACTGACATATATTGAAACTTAGTCGCACATGGATCTTAAGAGGTGTTATTGTGCCCCATCGTCAAATCTTTGTAAATCCTGGTTATAAGCTTATATCAAGACTTATTTCATCAAAATTGCTGGGTTTGAACTTAGTGATGTTCTACCGTATTCACAAAGTTTTCGGCAAAGAGGGGATAACTCAGGAATGGAAGGCTGCAGCTTATGAAAAGGGTCGAGTGCCAAGCAGAGAGAATGATTTGTTCACAACTCACTGATATTTTATGGGAATCTACTATTGGCGACTCCAGTATTGGCAAAACAGCAGAATATCGTCCAATACTGATGTCTACTGATAAGCCACTTATCGCCCAATTACTGATGGCGAAACTGATTATCGAAACATCACTAATTGAAATTCAAAGTTGCACATATCATATAGATTTTAAATGTGTGTGCTCCTATATTCCAATGTTTTTTGTTTTAAATAGACAACATCCGGTGACCTTCTTTATTTCTTTCACAATGCTGCTGGTGGGCATATTTTTGTTGCCTGGCAAAACTATGTTTATAATATATTTTTTCTCGACCTAGGAAACAATATCAGAAAAAAATGGATAAGTGATTCTCCCATCAAGATGACATAATTTTAAAAAAAACAAAAACTTAAAATAACTTGCCGTAGCTCCTATTAAAGCAGTGTGGCCGCTGACGTCTGCTACATCTACATGGACAAATCCGCAATTCAATAAATCTTCAACTTCGTCAACACGACCAGAAATAGCGGCCAATAGAAACTGATCTGCTGCTTCTTCTAGAGGACCTTTAGCGATAAAACCACTTCTGTCTCCGTTTATTATTTTATTTACATCAAAACTAACAAGATTTTGGCAGCCAGAATGTTTATGCACATGTTTCTGAATTGCAATTAAAGATGGTGTCTTGTTCCAGGCTGGTTGTTTATTGTCACTGGCAACAGTTTCCGTATCTTTGAAAAATTCTTGATCAAAGTCCTGTTTATTTATGGCAAGGCTTCTTGGATCTAGCGTCTCATTAAAAAACTGTGTGATTTTTTCAACATGGAGATTTTCATCCAGTTCTAAATCAGTAGTCTCTGATTTCTTGTCTTTTTTATCACTTGAATCGTCAGTGTTGATATACGTCACTTGGTCAGCGTTAAAGTCAAATTCGGGATGTTCTCGAAGAGTAAAAGCCCCCTCCACAGGAAAACAAAGTTTGATTAGTTTCTCTTGTTGCCATAGTCCCACATCCTGGCGTTCATCTGTATAGGTCATGACCCCAGGACCCTCTCTCTCGTCTTCTTTATATAGCCCCTTAAAATATAAACCAAATACATTTGCTTCCTTAATTACCAAAGACAGATATGTGACCAAAACACTTTGTTTATACACATTCTTTTCCTGCATTATTTCATACTTTTTGGCACAGTTTTAATCACTGTTTCATTTTATATACAACTAACTTCATGTTTTTATATGCCCACATTTTCATGTGGACATATATTGTCGTCGCCCATGTACATTTGTGGACACTCTACAGGTCACGATTTTAATCCAATTTTGACGAAACCTGAAATATAGGTTTAGCTTGTTCTCTATCCCTCTCTTGCAAAATGTGGGTGTATCTTGCATGGCAACCCCTTGTTAATAAAATTAAATATGATCTCACCTCAAATACGTTTCCATTAGCAAAAGTAAATTTGCCATATCCCTCCTTTCTGTCAATATGAAATGTCCCTGTGTAAAACGATCCATCAGACCAGGTATAAGTTCCTTTACCATGACGACGATCTTTATAAAAGCACCCTTCATACGACTGAAAATTAAACATAAAATAATAATCTTGTGTTTATCTGCCATGTCAAACCTACCCTATTTTGTATAAAGTGCTGTATAATTGTCAACCCTTTACTTCGCTAGGGGGTTCAAAATGTCCAACTTGATACATAATTTTTAAAAAATCACAGAGAATATTCATCATTATTACTATCAGAACAAATAAAGTGTTTGAATGTGCTTTTAATAATAATAGAATTCAATTGTAAAAGATCACCAAGCCAACCATCAAAATACGCCCACACAGCAGCTATGTCTTAACAGAAGCTGATCCTAAAGCAGGGGTAAGTCCGGAACAGAATCGTGGAATGCTGAATATCATATTTGAAAATAAGTTACAAATTATAATATAGCCTCTATCACAACTCTAGAATGGAAATGAAATGAAAGGAAATGGGGTTTAATGTCCTACTGTTCTGCTCCTATGCTGGGCTAATGAAGACGGACATACGCCATACAGTGTGCTATGGGGGGAATTTTGCCCGGGCAGCGGCACTATCG